CAAACTTCGATATATTTCCAATCGCATTATCTTGTGTTCTCCTTTCTTCATGGGGATGTTTTCCCGCATATGAAAAACTACAGCAATTAGAAAGCCCGGCTCGTACCAGATTCAAACCTGGCGAGCGTCCTAATTTAGCATTTGCTCTACCTTCTCCGGCAACATTCCAGCGTGCTTGGTCGGGTTGTACCAGTGGCGAATTAGGTTGTAAAACTCTTCCATCGGACACTTTCCAACCTCGTGGGTTTCTCCACAGCCTCGACACACAAGCAGGCAACGTTCTGGTGGATGACCCTTCTTTCCACAGCGGTCACAGGTCAGCCTCTTCCAAAAAACCAAATCTCCATGCTTCTTGTACCCACAATGGGAACATCTTGCATTGGGATTGCCGACGCCGTGCGGGGTCCAAGGTCTTTGGTCGAGGGTCGAGGCTGGTCAACCGCTCTGGTAGGTCGATCCCTTGGGGTCCTTGACCCTATGTCCTTCTCCGCCTCCGTAGTCATGTGAAAGACCTTTGGTATGTCATATCCGCCGTCCCAACTGTCTAAGCTGGAGTCTTGGGAGTTCGATCCCTCCTGGGTCGCTCAAACTGCATGAACAGAGCAGCAGTTCTGCTCTCTTGGTCGATCAGGGAGAATCGGTGCTTTCTGGCGAAGCTTGCCTGACCCGAACAACATCTTGCCTCGTCGATCCTTCGTCCCTTGACGCGCCCTCAGCACACCCTCCAGCTCTTTCACATCAGTCAAACGTAACACGGTCAACTGGTCTGCCAGTTTGGAGTCGTCCAAGGTCTCGAAGTAGTGCTCAACATGCTTCTTTTGAATCTTGGGTGGTCTATCTTGATCTTAATCTTCTCTCGAAGTCCAATGACATTCAGACGATATCAGTAGTCCAGCGGGGGTTCGTCCGAACTTTTCTTTGCATGGTAATATTGGCGGGCCACTAGTACCCCCAGACCAAAAAATTGCATCTGAAATTCCTGTAGTTGGTCCTTCCAATTTCCTCGAACAAAGCGACCTAGTTAACGGTACCACTTCTGGGCAGTTCCAGTCAATAATTCTCCAAAATCGAGACACTTTCCTCATCTGGCGCTTGGTCCCTCGTGTACGCGGTCTTCAGAGTGGTCACCCAGCTGCGTGATCGGTCCTCATCTTGGTCTTTTCCATGGAACTCCTTGAGGTCCGAGGTCGCTGAGAGCTTGATACGGGGGGCCATGTTTGACATCTGTCCCAGGGTGGCATTGGCCATTCTCGCCAGAGGTCCATCGAGGTCCATGTCATCTGGATTGTATTCACATGAACCGACCGATTCCATCTCTGCATCGGTCGTCGCTTGGTCTCTTGCAACGTGCATACCTGCAATTGGGCCCAGCTGAGCCGTTGGCCTCTGTGCCCTCTGTCGTCCTCTGGCCGCACTTTCCTCGATGTGTGTTTGCGGTACTTGGCGCTCTTATAGTAATTTTGCCATCACCGCGTCGAAGTATGCCTGTAAATTACCTACCGGGGTGGTAGGCTCCTCCCCAGGCATCTTCGTCACGTGACGAGGTATAATTTGGTACTAGTCCTGGCTCTTTTTCTGATTGGCTGTACACGCGTTGCCGTTTCGTAAGCTTTCTGCTCGTCTTCTGCGTCCCCCGCTCGGTCTTGAAGCAGTGGCATGCCAGTCGGTCCAAGTGGCATTCGGACCACGTGACAAGCAACGGGTGACCCTCGCGACGATTGTCTTGCAGGGACCTGAGGAACCTGGAGCAAGGTGATCTGTGATAGACCTCGCATCGACCATGGATCCTCGGTCGGCCATTGCTCTCGAGGGTGGACCTCGATGTTCTTGGAAGGTCATCTGGCTGTCTTCAGACGGTGCTTTTGTGGCGGTCGCAGGAGGTAAGTAGTTATGGGGTTATTTCCATAAGGATCCCCAAACGTTTGTAAAGAATCTTTGACGTGGTCTCGACACTGTTGAACCCCGGGGAAACCAAGTCTTCTGGCTTGAACCTCCCTGCGACCATACCCGCCTCGCGAAGAAGGGTCACTAGGGCGGTGATCGCGTCTGCCACCATCCGCACCTTGGGAAGGGTCGACACAGGTCCACTGAGCTGACCCAGCAGTCGGATCTCGAGGGCTTTGGTGACGGGGTCGCTCTCCAAGAACGAGTCATGCTTGAGTCGATGGTAGGCCATAGTCACGTCAGCTTCCGACCAGGTCAAAGGTCCTAAGGTCGAGGGGCCTACTGACTTGGTGTCATTTGGTGCCTTCATTTGGAGCTTGGTCGGCTTGGACATGGCGATCGTATGTTTTTGTAGTTTTTGTATGTTCTTAGTTTTTGGGGACAATAGTCTATCAGTCTTTCACCTTCGACTGATCCTTTAGGGCATGATAGATATCATGACCCAAGGTGTCCTCGACGAGGACATAGAGAGATTATTTCGGTTTCTCTGCAATAAGTTCAACCTTGACCACATTAACCGGACCGTCCTGAAGCTAGAACACTGCTCAGCATATCATCTTCCGTGTAGTGACGTTCCAAAGTCGAGCGTATTGTCTCCCAGGCCGTCGGAAGCTCCTTTTTTGTGGGTTAACATGATGAAAGCGACCCACTGACGAAAGGTTTGCTACGAAATTGTTCGTCCGGTTTCTTATTGAGTTTCAGACCAGTAAACAGTTTGTCCGAATAAATCTTGTTCATCATGCTCCAGAGCCGCACTCGAGCTTTCTGAACTGTGCTTAGCTTGACTGTTGCAAAACTGATATCGAGTGGATGGATCACCTGGAAGCCTGTCCTCTCTTTGAAATGGTTGATAAGGTGTCACTCCTTGTCAGAACCACTGTAGACCTTAAGTACCGCTTGTTTGAAGAATTGTCATGAGCTGGATTCAGCTTATTCAACGCGCATGAGCTATGTATATCGTCCCCCGGCGTAAATTCGGCAGTAGGATTGCCCATGGCCAAACACGCGAGCAACGTGGCAGCAATCAGCACCAGTGGTGCACCAAACTTAATCCGCATCCTTGATACTTGAACTCAATGATAAAACTGTGCAGCAAAATGTAAAGCTAATAAGGCGGTTGACTTAAGAACTAGCACGGGACTAACTGCCAATGCCGGCTCAAATCGGTATGTTCTACTACTGCCAATCCCTTTTTCGTATGCATTCGGTAACAACACGAGATCAAACTGATTCCGGCTTAATACAATGATGCACAGTTTTTACAAGTCTGTGACACATTGTAATATTATCGATGCATTCTGTCTCGGCTCTTGCTGCTGTAATTACGTCCATATAATGATCAAATCGAGATTGTACACATCACTGGAATACCATTGTGAGATGCGTCAAATAAGCTCAGCAAGGCTTCAATATCATATGATTCCAACGATAAGCTCGATGCTACTGATCTCAAATTTGTCTGATTGTCATCCTATTCTTCAGCCATTTGTACGCTAATTTGATTGGTGACGCATCTAGAAGAGGTTCAAGATGTGTGTTTTCACTCGGAACCACACATTTTAAACCTCTTCTCTAGCTGTTTGTAGTAAAACACTGACGATCATATTGTTGACGTGTGGTAACATTTGTCATAAGCAATGTGTGACGAATGCTTATTTTGAAAGTGACAATGAATAGCTGGTCATTTTCGACTAGAACTTGTAAGAAAACTGGTGTGCTTGTCCAATTGTCCGACGTATTAACATCGTTAATAAGGGTATGAAGAAGAAAGATAATGCAGTCTTTGTGTTGGGGCAATCCGTAACGAAGGCAAAAACCTCTTGCTTGGTTGCTACAATTAAGATAGGACGTCACAAATGACAGAAGGATTATTGCCTGATCGTGCAATCAACTTCTATATATCTGAGGACATGAACCGGAGTATTTGATTCAACACGACGAGGAGACATGAAAGGAATGCGCCATTATGTCGCCAAGTCCTTGTACAAACGTCGATTAGCTTCTTGCTGTCGTCGTATGACGGACGACATTCAGTCCGTTGCTCTATTCCAAGCAGAGACACGCAAGGCTTTGATTACCATACGAGCGAGCTGTCTATGGCCAGCTGAGCTGAGTACCTGTTGAGCAGCCAATCTCCGGCGCGCCTTGGGTCTCGGTTGTCTGAACGAGGACGAGATAAATTTCTCCTATACCTTTCATCTGTCTTGAGCTAACTCCACCACCAAGTCGAAAGAAATAGCTTATTGTTGAGCAAGAAAGCTGCTATGAATATCAATGTATGATGTCGGTAAATCAACATTTGAAGAAATACATACTGCTGTCCATTAGCTGTCAATTGAGTATGATACGTCGGCTGACTATCACCACGTAATTGAAAACTGCGAGGAAGCTGGGATGTGCACAGGCTCTATTGAGCTAGAATCTTACTGTCAATACCATAGAAATTTGCAAGTGATATTTGACGAGATGCTATTTAACACAAAAGGCCGTGGCCAATGGCTGGTTGCGTCGACGAGGCTGTACTGTCTAAGTGATGTGCATGGTACTTCACGGCTAAGATCTCGTGATCTTTATGCGTGCGTGAGTCACATGCCGTTCATTTGTTTCTTTGCAGTATGGTCACCAACGGCATAGTGTATCACTTTCCAAGTATTGGGGTTGAGCACAATGTTTCGTTTGGCAATTCAAGATGGCAGGTGATTCTGCACTGTTGCAATACATAAGTCAGGCTTTGAGTTACGATCAAGAAACACATTTAATCGTGTCTTAAGATAGAAGAACGAGTAAATCACGACTACACCAAGCACATGACTAGGATTTGATGAAGGTTATGCTTAAATACGCTGAGACGTCGATCATGCTGACGGACTTCGTAACCAACAGACTGCGACAGAAGGATGTGTGATGATGATGATTTGTATGAAAAGGTTGTCTTTGAACGGTGAATTTCAATAGAACGTCAACATTAATAGTAAATTACGTCAAGTACAAACACACTTAACAGCTCTGTTCCTCTAGACACACTTACAGCGCGAGTGCACACGTGCAAATTGACGTTACTCGTACTCACTATCTTCTTCGCCCTCACTTTCATCGTTTCGTCCCAATGCCAATAAATAACACTCAGTGGCCTCGTCGTTTCGACCTCGTTCGTGCATAATACGTCCTAGCATCGCCAAAGCTGCACCCGTAGGATGTAACTTTAAACTCGTCGTACAAGCATCTTCCGCGGCCGCAGGCTGGCCGACTTTTAATCGGCACTCAGCAAGCATATACCACAGTGTTGCGTTCGATCGCTCAATGCCAATGGCGCGCGAAAGCTCTAAAATTGCAGCCATATACTCTTTTTGCTGCATGTACAATTTTCCAGAGCGAATGGCTCGCGACACAGCAGCATGCGCCTTTTCGTATCGACTCACGCGCACTTTTGCGTTCTGCAACTCCTTCTGAGCCTTTTGCGCTCGCTTGGTAGCCTCACCATACATATCCAGCAAGTCTGTCAGCTCTTTCTGGTGCTGAAGTACCGTTGCTTCCAACTCCGAGACCTGTCCCATGATCTCTTCATCCCTTTTAGTCAGCTTGTAGTTGGCAGTCGTCGGGGCTTTTTCCTTCGCCTCGAGACTGGCAGGATCGATTCCAGCAACAGCAGCCTTCTTAGCCCAAAGCTTGGCGGTCAGGTCCTGCTTTCCTCGGTTTGACGCGGCAAGTAGCTCCGCAAACGCCTCATCCTCCACCTTGTCATCGCTTAAGCACGAGTCACTGCTTACAGAAATTTGCGTCGCCTCAAATTCATCGTATTCTGTGATGCACAACGTGCGCTTTGGCTTAGAGACCTTATCATGGGCCAATGTGTTTTCTTCGCAGCTGTCTCGAAAATTCATATCAATAGGCTCGCCACGTTTGAACGGGGGGAGCATTCCGACTGAACTTTGTCTTTCGCCATAGGCCTTGTTACCGTCTTTGGCCTGATCTAGTAATGCTGTATTACGTCTTCTCTCGCCTGTGTCACCTCTTGGGTTTGCCTTACGTCTGCTCGACTGTCCGCTCGGTTCGTCACTCTCAATATCATCCTCAATCATCGGTTGTAACGTTACCTTCTTCATCGCTGCTTTTGCCGGCTCTGGCTTTAGGTACTTTTGCGTAATTGCCGACACCTCTAAGCTTTTGATACTGCTGGAAGAAGCGCTAAAGTCTAAGTGTTCCTTCTTCTCCAATGATTCCCGGTTCATACTGTTGCTTCGAACTTTTTTAAGTCTGCGAGATGGAACTTTCTGCCCTACATCGTTGGCCGCTTTAGATTCCGAGTCAGAGTGATCGGACCCAGCCAGACTGAAAATGGAAAAAGTCGAATCTGCAAAAGCACTTTGCTTTTCCTTCTCTTTGCGGGATGGCGAACGCCGCTTCGACACTGACCTTGGTGGTGGAGCTGGTACTTCAATATCGTCACTCCCGTTTAGCGCAGCATACAAGCTGGTCAGCGTCGAGGACGCGGTGCGGCACGTTGACGATGTGTCGTCACGGAGCTTGCCACTACCTCGCTTGAGTAGACTGGGAGCTGGGCTACGCATCTCCTCGGGGGTAACTCCACGGTGGCGGCGTTCTTTCTGTCTAAGAGAACCACGTGAAAGTTTGTCGCGTGGAGCGTCATCAAATAGGTCTCGCTCATGCAGAGCTCTGTCACGTCGATCTTTCTCGCGCGGATCTCTTGCTCGTGGGTCCCTATCACGTCGCTCTTTCTCGCGCGGATCTCTTGCTCGTGGGTCCCTATCACGTCGCTCCCTCTCACGCGGGTCCCTCTCGCGTCGCTCCCTCTCACGCGAGTCTTTTCTCGTGGGTACCTCTCGCGTCGCTCCCTCCCACGCGAGTCTTTTTCTCGTGGATCCCTCTCGCGTCGCTCCCTCTCGCGCGGGTCTTTTTCTCGTGGATCTCTCTCGCGTCGCTCCCTCTCGCGCGGGTCTTTTTCTCGTGGACCTCTCTCGCGTCGCTCCCTCTCATGCGGGTCTTTTTCTCGTGGGTCTCTCTTGCGTCGCTCCATTTCACGTGGGTCTTTTCCGCGCATGTCGCGTTCTCGAAGATCCTTAATACACAGCTCTCTCTCGCGTGCATCTCTTTCCCGTGGATCTCTCTCGCGCGCATTTCTTTCCCGTGGATCTCTATCGCGTGCATTTCTTTCTCGCAGATCTCTCTCGCGTGCATTTCTTTCTCGCGGATCTTTTTCTCGTGGGTCCCTAGTCCGTCGCTCTTTCTCACGTAATTCTCTCTTCCTGCGTCGATCTATGTCGTTTATGAGATCGCTAGGATGCAAATCTCCGTTTCGTGCAGGTCGGCCACGCGAAGAAACCACCTGACGAGGATCTATACCGTGTGGAGAATTTGCGCGGGGAGACATTAATCGGCGGCCTCGTGCTGATTGCATAATGCGTGGTTCTCCATCCCGTCGCATCATCAGCACAGGGTCATAGTCATCGCCGCCGCCGTTCCACGTCCTGTTATCTCGTCGTGCCATATCCTCAGCTCTTTTCAGTCCTTCTGGAGGGCTACGAATACGATGGCCGTCATTACGTTCATCTGTTAACTCCATCGTGTGTCGACGTACTTTGTCATTTGGTATCTCTCGACGCGCAGGACTAGGAGCTGCAAGTCCCATTGCAATGCTGCAGCACTTTGGATAGCACTTGTCACACACTCGTTGCGGTACTTTTGACAGCGACGTCGGCACAATCACCTTGTTCTTCGAGTGTTTACCACATACTGAGAGTCCACATGAACGACAATGGTGTCGTGCATTCAGGAGCGAGAATTCAATACGGCAGATACCGCAGTGGTCTTCAACCTGCCAGCGCTTGGGTTTAAACTCAGCCATGGCACTATTGCCACGTTGGCCTACGACTCGCTTCGGCGCCTGCGGTTGTGGCATAAGTATAAGTCTGCAAGACTAGTCCCGTCCGTCCGTTGTCTCTGTGTTGTATACGTCTCCCCCTCCCTTGAGCTACGACGTCCGTCACAAATTGTCTCTTCGTCTCTTAAAACTCTCCGTCTCTCGCTCTTTCTCACTCTTCCCCCTTCTCTGTTCTTTTCTCTTGTCGTCGTGTGTCCCGTCCGTTCGTTCTGTGGCTCGCCGACTAGTGAGCAAAACTCAACTACAAAAGACGTTCTTGTAGAGTCTTTCGATGTCTCGGACAAACTACCTGTCAGCTGAATAATAATAGAAAGAAGAGACGACAGACACACTAAACAACTCAAGGCTCAAGGAAAAATAAGAATAATACCAACTGGACGAGAGATTGGAGAGTTGTTCAACTGAATATACAGACAACAAACAGACAGACAGACAGCTTATCGAATGAATGCTTTATACGGTTCATTTGTTAGGTATAAAGACAGGCAGCTGGAGAGCTTCGAGAAGATGAGAAGGGAACAGCAGCACACGCACGACCAGCCGAACGAGCGATCGAATTTGAAAAGTTACTTATAAGTATGCAATAACAAATAAAAAGACCCAAAATGCTGGTTTTGAGCACTATTTAGTCTCGTTTAGACCAAATAAAAAGGGGTCTCTTGACACGAGCAAAGATGATGCTACTTCAGATGGTATATAATGTAGTAGGAATGTATTGCGGTTGTTGACCGTATACAAAAACATGGTGTTGTACCGTTTTTGACCAACAGTGGGTATCCGGACTTGTGGACTCCGTAATCGCCATGACTTGAATTTGTAATTTAGTCCACTCTATTCCCAAAAGATGGCTCGTTTACTGGATTTTAAACTCTCATCGTTCATCCGTTTACAAATAAAATGGAGCGAGGAGACTATTTTTGCTATTTAGTCCAAAACCAAAAATATTATGGACGCGTTTTTCCTAAAGCATCAGCTGTTTACGCAGGACGTGATGGTTCTTCTAGACCAGCCGAAGGAACAAGAAGAGGACGGGAATGAATACAAGAAATTACAATTGCTTATAAAAACGCACGGAGGCGTTCTATTAGATCAACACGACAGCAACGACGCGCGTGTTAATATCGTACTGCTTGATGGACGGAATCAGGATCAGAATGAGCTAAAGAATCGTTTTCCATTGGCTGAAATTGTAAATGTCCAATGGATAAAGGACAGTATTCAACAAAATCGACGACTTGAGATCCCATCCTATTGTATCCAGGATAAGCAACATTTATCCTACAGGATGGAATCTCAAGCAATGAAGAAACAAAAGACTGTAGCTGCACAAGATACGGCAGATTTCAATCCTAAAGAAGCAAGTGTATTACATTTGGAAGCTACAAAGCCACAGTTTAGGCCATGGACGACGATTCACAAATCAGTCTATGTCCTAGATACTCGACCTCAAATGCAAGATGGAAAGCAAGCGACAGATCAAAGCTACAAGGTTGCAGCTTTTGACCTGGATTGCACGCTAATTGTAACGAAGAGTGGAAAGAAGTATGCACGGAATCATAACGATTGGAAGTGGTTTCATCCGACCCTTGTAAGGGACAAACTGGCCAAATTGGCCCGTGACGGCTTCACACTGACCATCTATTCGAATCAGAATGGGGTTGCCCAAGGACACATCACAGCGGCTCAATTGCAGGTATTCAACGACATGTTTTGTTGTTATGTGGCTGCTACTGTGACTAATATATTTAATTTGCCTCTTTTCTCGTGCCTGTTACGTAGAATAAGCTTGAGACTATCGTGCAGCAGCTAGACCTTCCTGTGCTCGTATTTCTTGCTACAGAGAATGATATTATGCGCAAACCTCGTCTTGGTGTCTGGAAGGAGCTGGCGAAGTTGTTGAGCGCAAAGGGTGAAGATGCCATTGATAAGGAAGCTAGCTTTTACTGTGGAGATGCTGCAGGACGACCTAAGATTGCAGGGCGCTCGAAAGATTTTGCTGCGACGGACTACAAGTTCGCACTAAATGCAGGCATTCGGTTTTTTACACCTGAAAGCTTTTTTTTGATACAAAACAGCGAATTCATACATGTCCCGAAACGTGGGAGCTTGGCTTTGATCCCAAGTCTATCGCTCATAATGTGTCTGCTGGTAATGTATGCCCCTAGGTAATTACTCTGCATACTTTGATGCAACTAACCAACGAGGATTGGCATGTCTGCATCGTTGTTGTAGCACCTTTGCTGATTCCCGCATCAGCGCAAATTGTAAAAGAAGAACAGGAAATGGTTGTTCTTGTTGGTCCGCCAGCTTCGGGAAAATCGTTCTTTGCAAACACGTATCTGAGCTCTTACGTCCTTGTAAGTCAAGATGAGTTGCGAACAGCTGCAAATTGCAAAAAGAAGTGCCTGGAAGCAATAGCGCAGCAGAAAAGTGTGGTTATTGACAATACAAATTGCGATCCACGCGCAAGAAAGGCGTGGATTGAAATTGCGAAGGAAAAGGTTGGTGCAGCATGAAAAAGTGCACACGTTGTTTGAGCACCTAGAGCATGCTTTATTAAATTGATGTGCGTTGCTGTGGTTGCACTGCTAGAATTTGCCCATCCGGTGTTTCGAAATGGACGTCAACAAATTGCTATCGATGCATTTAAATACGTTTAGATGGCTAACCCAGCAGAAAAAAGTTCCGGATGTTGCTATTCATGGATTCTACAAGAATTTTGTGTCACCAACGGTACGCAGTCTAATGTGTGTAAGTACTGCGGATGGGATCATGACGCCTGTTGTGTATTTGCCAGGAAAAAGAAGGGTTTGCTGAGGTGATTAAGGTCCCATTCCGAGTCAACAGAAACGTCTCCGACGTTGATCAAGCATTGCTGCTATCTTATGTTTCATAACATGCGGAGTCTGGCGACTCTTTACGAAGGCTAGCTCTCAGAAATGTTACCATACTGCTGTATGTGTTTGTTAATTTGGCCTGGAAAATGCTCACTACTTTTAGCCCGAGTATTGCCCACTCGTGGTATCCGTTCGCGAATGCCTGACCTTGTCTGTCTCACTCTGGTACTCTGTTATGACGACATAGGCGGATACTTCCAACCCTCGACAAAGTACATGACTTGTGCTGACAGGCGGGCTGACACGAAGCTACACGGTTTTCGCTGACTAATTGAGATGACGTCAAACATATTAGTCGTTTAGCACAGAGCCAGATCCGTATCGCACCACCAGCTCTCTACGGTCAAGTCACTCACAAGCTCATCGCAGTGGGAAGCACTTGCGTCGCACATATTGTCGTTGCATGACGACAGTATCGCTTCAAAGTGGTTTGCAAATGGCATTTTACGATCACTTTGTCAGAAGACGGTCGACCTTATTGTCATCGCCAAAGAGACCACTAATGTACGTACGACACGAAAAGGTTGTCATACAGTTTTTGGTCGGGTGGATTGAATTGTGGCTTAGAGAGAATGACAAGAAACTGATAAAGTCTCTTCCATCCCATCGATTCTTTTCGGATGCGATCTTTACTGCGTGTTGCTCGTTAGCATTTGATCGTGTGGTTTGCAACGGAAACAGCAGCATCAATGTCAAATTAACACGACCAGGGCCAGCAGAACTTATGAAAATCTCATGCACAGAGGTATTGGATTCATAACAAAGCTTGCATCACACTAACAACTTGCATTTCAATCTGTTTTGCAGAGCAAAGCAATTTCTGATCACGAAGCTGACACTGACGGAGAAAAGCCTTGTAGCAATCTACAGGTCACGTCTACAAGCTCATTGGCGACTATTGCTAAGTTTGTTGTCTCTTCTTAAATCGAGTGATTCGTTAGCAGCTGCCCCACTTATTGCAATGTGAAGAAACATTAAAGCTTCTAGACTCCTTCATGTGTGATCTTGTGCCTGATACTCGATGAACAAAGTCGTAAGGAGTATCTTTTGTATCAAAAGATATTGAAACAGCACACGATGTATGGTCCTTATTTTCATATTAACCTAAGCAATAGATAGTAAGATTGGATATACATTACGCCATGAATGCACTATTTTTCTAGTTTCTGACCAAGATACATGACATCATCATATAAAATTCAAACGTTTTGCTTTTCGATTACAACGTTACCTCAAGTGCTTGATGGTACAAAGAATGATAAAGACTGTAGACGAATCTCATTCTTCATACAATCATCATAATGAAGTTGTATAAAAATAGATTACGAAACTGTGGAAGATAACCAGATCCAAGAAAAAGGTCAGTCCGACGCTTGCTTATTCCATCACGCGGCTTCTTTTTATTGGCCAAGAATTACTCTGCGCACGGCTATGTCGTATATTTCGCTGCATTGTAAGCTTTTCATGGTGGGCCTATGACGGCAGAAGACGTGATAGATGATAGTATAATCGCAGCTGTCGTAAACCAAGTATCAGCTCTAGTCAGTAGCATTGTTCTCTTGATTTGAGTATTGCTCACCTAAACCCATGCACACTCTCTCTTCTTACAAAGACGGAACATTTTAGTTACCACGTTTTTTTCTATTCGAATCAATAGTTCCTGTAATTCTTATATACCTGCAGCACTTTATGTATTTTGTTTTCTAATTTAATTGTTTTACAAAAGTGCTTACATTTCTATCCACTTGAGTACTTACTTGATTCAATTGAATCATTTGTTCACTTTAGCATTTAAAAAAGACTTCCGAGTCGGGTACAGGAGTCTCTCTTCCTTTCCACCTGCTCATCGTTTAGCGTATAACAACTGTACGATCGATCGTCTTTTCCCCTTAGGAAAGAGAGCAAGCAGATAAGCAGCAATCAATCAAGTGACTGCGTGAGTGAGGGAGTGAGTGAGGGAGTGAGTGGTGAGAGAGAGAGAGAAAGAAAGCAAGAGTGTGTGTTTGTATACTAATATACAATGGGCGCGGAGTTAAGTCGCCCCACTGGTTCGGACATTACGAATCTCAAAGATGATGCAGCAGCACACCCTCGACGTGTAGGTAGTAGTAGTACTTTAGAAGCACGTCATGTCCATCCATTCAATGCCTTTTCAACGTCTTCTAGTACAACATCATTGTCATCAATGACGACAAAAACGAACGCGAACCTTTCCAATAGTCGTAGTAGTAGTGCTAATGCCAAGTCAAAACTACTTGAAAGTGGTCTTTTTTCAAGTATGCGACGATCTAGGAATAACAGTAAGAATCATACACCACCATCAAGCAGTTTGGGCGATCAAGCAGTGGAAAGTTTAGACCTACCAATGGTTGAATGGGAAGGTTACGTGACGAAAAGAGGACACTTGGTACGGAATTGGAAGATGCGATTCTTTACATTAGAAGGAAATTTAGTCTCATGTAAGTAAGAAATAGACCGTTATGTATTGAGAAGAAGAAGAAAAAGAGGAGGAGGAATGGAGGTTCATTACTAAGTATCTATGACTATATGACTATGTGTGCTACTGCTACAGATTATGAGAATAAAGTAGATGCTCGGAATCGCAATCATCTTAAAGGTCGCGTGAATGTAGCATCTGTTAAGATGGACAAGGTCGCTAAAAATGGGCATGGGTTTGATTTTTCCTTTGAAACAACGGAAGGCAAGGTCTTTCACTGTAGTGTACCTACCCATTTTGATCAATTAGCCTGGGTCTACTTTCTTGAAGCTGGAGTGGACACTGTGAGCATGAGACAAAATAACAAACCAGTGTACAATACGTACCGACATGGAGCACTGCCTGATATGCGCACAGACAAGGGCTATGAAACCTATCGACGAATGCTTGGCGGCGAAGCAGCTATGGTGACGGAATTGCTGTCTTACTTTAACAAGGATCTCGTCTTCTCGTCGTCGTATCCAAAAAGTACACCCTTTAGTGGTGATTATTTTGGCCGTGAAGGACTGCTGCACTTTTTTGGAGCGTTTCAAAGTAATGTGGATCTAGTGGAGATTGCAGTGAAGGAGTGTGAACTAAATGCAAATGGAAAAAGCTTGACAGTAAAAGGCACGGAGACGCTCAAGAGTAAACACTCTGGGGCCAGTATTACGCAGTCGTGGTCGCACCGTGTGCGCTTTGGACCAAATGGACGTATTTTGCGTTTTCGGGTTGATGTGGATTTGAAGGGCGCGACAGGCACGTGGAAGTCGTTTGGGGTCAAGAACCCGTACTCCGAGATTTCTGATGCGTCGATACGATCGAACAGATCACTAAGTATTTCTATGAAAGATTTTACGGTGTACAATGTGATTGGTAAAGGTGGTTTTGGTACCGTCGTAAACGCAGTGAAGAAAAGTGACGGACAGATTTACGCGCTGAAGATTTTGGAGAAGGAAAAGATGACCAAATACGACGTGGAGAGCTCGTTTACGGAAATGCGAGTGGCCCAAAATATCCACCACCCATTTATTGCAGGTTTGCGCATCGCATTTCAGAGTCGAACAAAGCTGTTTCTTGGTATGAACTACTATGGTGGCGGTGATCTTTTCCACCACATGAGCAAGGGTTCGACTTGCCGGATATCGTCAGACCGTGCACATTTTTACACGGCTGAACTGGTGCTCGGTATTCATCATCTGCACCAGCATGATATTCTTTACCGTGATATCAAGCCTGAAAACGTGATGATTGATGCGGACGGTCACGTTGCACTGGTAGACTTTGGCCTTGCCAAGTTGCATGTGTCGGAGTACAAGGGTGCAAAAACTATGGCTGGATCGCCTCAGTACACAGCGCCAGAGCTCCTTCTTCCCAAGGCAAAGCGATCGTACGGCAAAGCAGCAGACTGGTGGAGCCTTGGCATCCTGCTCTACGAGATGAGTGTGGGGAAATCTCCATTCTACGACAACAACATTGAAAAGATGTACCACAAAATCCAGAATGACCCCCTGGTCTTCCCTTCTAAACCAGTGCTTACGGACGAGCTCAAGTCGATTCTTCGAAGCTTCCTTCAGAAGGACCCTACGAAGCGTCTTGGAACCAACATTAGTGACATTCTTGAGCACCCGTATTTCCGCGGCATTGATTGGGATTTGTTGCTAAAGAAGCAAATCACCCCGCCGTGGAAACCTAAGCTTACGTCACTTCTCGACGTAGAATACGTAGATGCGGAGTTTACAGATCTGGATGTGCATAACGAAGTTCATTCACCGACGGATAAGACTACAGCCAAGGCGAAGGGTTTCTTATCGCTTGTGTCTAGCCGTGGCAACCGTGAAAAGGCAGCTCCCCCGGTGCAGGATCCCACGTTTAAGGACTTTACGTATTTTTGCGAAGACCCAGATGCTCTTGTGGAAGTCACAAACCTAGTATCTGAACTGCGGCCTCCACCGCCACCTCCTTGCCCTCATCCTAACGAAGAGGATTCAGACGAGTCGGATCGATCCGCGGACCATGATCAGTCCATTATTTCCGAGTGTGGGGGAACGCCGCTATCATCTTTTGTTGAGAATGGACACTTGAACCCGCTGCCCATGTCACCGAATCAATTCCACGAAGGCTTAAAGAAGCTAGAGTCATCCATGAGTGAACAATTTGAGCGCGTTGAGGTAACTATTTCTCGTGGGCGGCCGCCGGTAAAAAGGTCAAGTGGGAGCTCTACTTCAAGCAGAGAGGAACTGGAGCATGACCGCATCCACGTAGAAAAGCTGGTGATCTCGCACGGACCGTCGACCTCGACGGATACCGCAGGCATTGTACCAGCTTACTCAACTCAATCGAGCCAATACGCATACAATCCATCTTCTCAAATCCCCAACACCAACTTTCGAGATTTTTCTGGAGAAAGTGATGTTGCTAGCCACGACGCGAACGTCCAGGCTAATTTGGCAAGCCGGGGTCAACTTGCTGCAAATTCGACAACTGCTGACACCGGGCTCATAGTGGAGGCGGAATTTTAGCAGAAAAATGACCGAAAGTCACAAATGGCGTCCAGTGGCAAAGAAATTAACGCATCAATGTTAAAAGGTGAAGTGTTTGCGACTAACGTGGCGTCTTGACGTTTTCTCTTGCAATACAGTGCATGTTAGACTGACAAAGGAGAGAACAAGCAAATACACTGAAAGTTTCATGTCGTTTTTACCGACCAGCTACTTTGGTCCTCAGTCATCACTGAAACGTATTCATCCTTCCTTGGCTGCGTGGTCCAGTACTTTCGGTTAGGAACAACAGCTTGTGACACCGCTTGAAAGAGGTTTGTCCATGCGGACGAAACGCACGCACATTGAGCTTCCATTGGTGATCACTCCTCAGCAATTTCTTTACCTTTCAGCGTCACGTGATTCTGGTACAGACAGATGAGCTGTTTCTGTGTTTGCCAACCCACATGACAATATATGCACATTGCTAAAAATTGCAGACTCTTGTCTTTGTGTACCGATTGTCTTTACGCGTGTGCATCTGCTTCTTGTTCATGAATGCGATTGATCTGCAAGATGCTATTCAGGAGCTGCGACTTGGCATGATGAAACGCAAATAATAGTAAACCCATACGACGTGATGAACGCGCGTTTCATGCGGCTTGGCGCGATCTTGCGGTACAATATTCGACAATTATCGTTGCATGCATACAAGTTATGCAAGCTCTCACGCAACGGGCACTCATTGATCGTCATTGAATCAAGAATACGGATGTACGTTGCGTTGCCAAACGAAACTCCAATTTGTCATATACCTTGAGACAGCAGCAGTCGTGATGTAAAACGATTTTGGGTATGAGCGTCTTGACAACGTACTGCATGATGTCAATGTACGTAAACGGTGTGAGCAGTGCGTGCGGCACGATCGTGAACACCACAGCAGCGTCCATTACAGCAAGGTTTAACATCTTTGCCAATCGCTATGAGCACGTCTCGTGCACCGCATGTACATGCGGCGACCTGATCGAATGGAGCCGTGAGCTAACCCTTGCAGCCCATCCCGGTGACGTTGGACTTGTGGGTCAGGTCGGGCCGCTCATGTGGGTGGACCCAGCTATTCTTGTGAGAGCCGCTCAGCGTGAACAGATGGCAAATCAATGTACAGTCGGTCAATTGGTTAACGATGTTTGGGGCGAGCACACAGCCGTGGAAAAGATGTACTCCGGTGCTTGAAAGCGAAAGTTACACACCACGTTCGTATGTTGTCAATAACCTTACGACCTGCAGTACACTTGGTTTCAGCTTCGATTGTGAGCATCGCACTCGGAATGGGAGGGAACAGTGCAGCCATGGCGCCGTATGGGAGAGCAAAGCCATCAATCTCACCAGCAAGTATGCTGGCCACTGCGGCAATCAGCGCCGCTCTTGTTGAGCAACAAGCAGTACCCGGTCGATATCGGATACTTACACGGCTTGGGGATAGGAACCTCAGTGACAATAGCAGGTGAAAGATTTGAAGCCAGATGATATTGTGGCAGCCCTGTTAAGATGCCGGCTGATGTGGATATGAAGACCTGCCGCTGGGTTGCAGCTACCGACTGACTGCGAAGCGTATCTCGAAGTGACTGAAGTGGCCAGTCAAGCCGCGTATCGATCATCTTTCTGTGTAAACTTGGACAAGGCCGACCCCGGTAGCGATGCTGGTGCCAGCAATACACCCGCTTGAACCAGCAGCTTCCGCCTTTTTTTAGTGGAATTCTGTCGCACGTGCGCGGCGAGTCGGCCGGAAAGTCCTCGCAACGGGCCGCCTGATGGGCACAGGTAAGGGGGACACCTTGCCTTGGTCAAAGAGACCAGCAAAGCAACAGCAACAACAGCAGCACACACAGAGACAACATCCTAGACATAAGGTCAGCAGCCACATTTTGCCTATGAAAAGGGGTTTGGACCAAAGATGAATGAACGAAATCGTGAGCCCGTCGTGAAGAGCGAAGTTTGATGCGCTAGGAATTCCACAAAGACGAGAAGATAGCGACAAGAAAGTATGTTTGGTCAGTGCAGCAATACAAAATTCAAGTGAATTATACTTCGGCATGGACGTTTGGTGTCGTGTTGTGATTGATTCAAGCGAACAATGCTCGTTTTATCTGCGGCATACGCTCGTTTGACCTCTTCCATCACGCACTGCTACTTATTCTAAAACTTGAAACGTCGTCCAGAAAGTAGCACGACTAACTCGTACTGCTTGCAACGCCTAAGCTTCTGTCTTGAACCTCTTGCAGTCCTGCTCGCGCGTTGCTCTCCACTTCCAGCACTCAGTTTACACATGTGCGTGCACAACTTTTGACAATCTACAATGGTGTCGGCAAACGTCTCTGCTGGCAAAAAGCGTGCAATGTCATCAGCATTTCGCAGCCAACAGCTATTAGTGATACCGCGTCGTCTTCTAGTCGCCACGCACAGTGCATGATGAATTCTCTGTAAGTCACTTTCAGCTTTGAGCTTAGGCCATCAGCTTCTCAGCTCGCTGCAATTGGCCTCCATCTTGTCTCATTGTCTCATTGAACCAAGCACGTGCGCAAGCCATCGATGCTGGTTAGTCGTTTACAATGACATGCACAATTTTTGTGCACTTAGCAATTGCAGGGACGTGACAACAGCAACTACCACATGAAGAAAACGGGCGGCGAACTTTATCTTTACGATGCCTCGTGAGTCTGAAATGCACGCACGGACGTAGCAATGGCGTTGATAGAGAAGTTTCTATGGCGGGTTAAAAGAGGCAGACAATTCTGTTAGATGTGCAAATCCTAAGCCCGGTCAGCAACGCCGCTTCCTCGGTCGAATCTGGTTGTTGTATAGGGCTCGTCACCTGCGGTGACGGCTTTCGGGGTTGTCGTGCTATAAGGCTGGCTTAGTAGCAGACGTGTACTGTCGATGGAAGTTTTTGCGTCGGCTCTTGCGCTTACCAATTGCACGGAGTTGTCGCATGCCGGTGTCCATGGTCTATAGTTTTCTAGGGCGGGTGTCATTGCGGCAGTTCTTTGACTTTGTCATGAAAATTTGATCGATCAGCCATGAATCTATGCAGGAATGCATCTGATCCTGTGCTTCATGTTTTTGAACAGATTAGCGAGGATGGGCTGACCACTGCAACCAAAATCAACTCGCAATCCTTCTTCTTTCGACTGAGACCTTCATTCACCGAATTTGCGCGAGGAAGCCACGTCCGATCTAGCATCACACTTTAAAAGCTGACAAGTGGACTTGCATCTAATCCAGTGTCAGTTTGGGTTGGACAACCTTCTGAAAAAATTGCACTTTGCTGCCTAAACATTTCAGAAATCTCAAGTTTTACGAGGATGGCTGTTAGGTACAGCAGCGTCTTCCAAGTCTACGCGATTGTGCTGCTGCTTCTTGTTGTGAAGCTACCTCCATGTTTAGCTACGGAAATTAACACTACAGCATTAATACGCTCACACGCGCTGAATGTGAACAGCGCCTTGAAGGAGTCAAACTTGAAACCGAACGCAGTCATGACATCAACTGATTCGGAAGAGAGGATAGATTTTGCGCGTATAAGCGTATTGGAGGGCTTAAGCCTTTCGGAGAAGAATATGCTTCAGACTTCATCAAAATTCTCCCAGTCTGGATTTATTGCAAAGATCATTCGAGAGTTTCAAATATTGTGGTGGAGGTTGTTGCGAAAATCCGACTTGGATGTATTTATTCTGCTGAAGCTCGACCTAAAAGGGCACGAACTTTTCAATAGCGCAGGTTTTCGCAAGTGGACCAATTTCATCGCATCAAAGAAAGATACGAAAGCTCCCAAAGATGTAATACTTGATATCTTAAAACAATATTACAAGACCGATGAGGAGCTGGTGAATCTTCTGTTAGCAGGAACAACAGCAAATACCTACTATTCGAGAGATTACGCTATCAGACTGCTGGAGCATCAAGTCAAAAGGTTGATTAATGAACAGAAACCACTGGAAGACATATTCAGACTTCTGAAGGTCAAGAAAGGCACCGACGTCTTTGGTAACACCCACTTCCTGTATATAGTTAAATTACATACAAAAATCAGCGGAGAAGACACGGGAAAAGTTCTTCTTACACAGTTGCGCAATGTGTACGGGGATGATCTACTCAACGTTTTAAGTGCAGAAGCCAGGAACCCCCGTATGCCGTCTATGGTACCGAGGGTGCTACGGGCCCTGCGTTCGGAGTGGACTGCTGAAGGGAAAAAGGCCGCAGAGACTTTCAATCTATTTCAGTTCAAGGACAAAACTGACACGATATTTTATGACCCAATCTTCCAGCTTTTGGCTCAAGTTTGCTATTTCAACATATGACAAAAATGAAGTCTTGTCAGTCTTGAACAATCATTTTACAGACGAGAGTCTGGACAACATGATGAAAAGGTTGGCAACGACTCAAGCTAAAGATAACGATGTCTATCAACTACTATTACCTTTTTTCAGGTCGAAAAAGGCATCTAACTAAAACAAAGCATGAACCTGTTCCCACTCGCTTTTTTTTGAAGCGCGACTAGATCACTCTGGATGTATGATGACATCAAGCTACAGCGAGTTAAGGACATGCTGCAAAGTTTGGTGACTTTGATCCAATGATGATCAAGAGAATTACGCATGCATATGCCAAATTCCATACGAAAGCCACAAGATCTGAAACTCCATTTTCCTCTTCACCTTGACAAATCGGAAAGCGATGGACTGAAAAGGAGCAGTATTGATTGGTTGGTGCATTTCTGCTTGCGTTCTAACAAGATAAAATGCGGTTGTCATATACTTGTCTTGTCTTGTCTGCAAAGTTGATTGTCATCACTGCGTCTGACCATTCGAACGGCATGACTGCAACAGAGTACGACAATTGCAATCTCTCTCCTTCTCATTAGACTAGAGTCTCATTTGCAAGTCTCCCGTTTTGTGAGCCCTTTGATCTAAGGACCCGGCCGTTCATCAAATGCTGCATCATCTTCAAAGGAAGGACAATACGAGCTATTGTCTTCCTTCAACTTGAACTGTGCCGGCTCAACAAGTGGCGGCTTTTTCGCCTTTGAAACAATGCTTCATCAGCTAAGTTGCATTTTTTGCTCATGACACATGCAAGTCGGTATTGATGCCTTGGTCACTACAGAGAGCGAAGTGCAGGTTTTCAAGCATGCTAAGCTCGTTGTTGTGTCTTCCTCATGTCGTTTCCAAGTCGATACCATAGCCATCGTCAATCATCATTTGACAGTCGAATCAACGATGTGTACTACTGAAGCATTTGCAGAATCGCTGGAGTTTCCAGTACCAGGAAACGATTCAAGGGGCATCGTTGCGAATCGAGTCTTTGTTTGGTCGTCAGACTGTGACATTAACAGGAAGCAATATCGTTCCGGCAGTATACTGAATCGGTCCCATTAAGCTCGTAATGTCCACGGTCGAGTTAAACTGCCTTACCGTCGATACAAACATAACCTTCATTTGTGTAAAAAAAACAATGCAGTACTCTAGCTTGCATTGTGTTCCGTAGTCGTTCCTACTGACGCCTCTTCCACCAGTTCAAGTGCATTCTGCACAAAAAATGCCTTGTCGAACGCTGCTTCTTCCAACACGCCATCCTCATAGCTGGCCTTAAACGTCGTGAGCAGCTGAGCATCATTCTTACGGGCTAGCGACTTCAGCACCTTAAGTGTCTTCCCATCTTCAAAGAGTCCCTCCTTCTGCAACTTGTTGAGCATACGCAACACGTCGCTCGACGCCGCATTCTTTGTCGGAACTGCTGCAACCTCCGTTTCAACAGCCTGGGTTGCACTCGTTGGCTCGGCATACCCTTTCTCATCAAAGAGACACAATACAATATCACACGAAAAGTAAGCAGCTACAAGAAACCAATGTCACGTACTGGATAACGCGTACACGTACCTTCGATATTGTGTGGATTTTCCTTGTGCCTTTGTGCAAACTGCTCGACCTCCGCTTCCGTGGACACAATAATAGCTAGTGGTTTGCCTGGAGCAATGTTATTAACACCCTCATCTACCACTAAGAAAAACAGCACAAAATACATTCGAACGTATCAGTTTCTAACACAGTCATTCAGTCATGACGTGAGAATTCACATCAGCGTCGGTTGCTCACAGAGTCGTGCAATGAATCCCTCGTCTCCAGACTCAAGTTGAAAGCACAGATCCGGTGTGTCAATCTAACAAGAAGAAAATACCAGAAAAAAGGTGATTCATTCATAGAAGCTCAGTCACACTGCAATCTTTTCAGCAATAGCCGACTCTGTCTCATTTCAATAACAACTTCAATCATACTTCACACATGTGTGTACCGTCCTTCACGGCTGTGCCTTCTTGCACGTACCATTTGGTAAGTGTCACGTCTGCAGCATCACTACTACCGACCTCCTATGATAAAACATATAAATATATATCAATATAAGTTAGACAGTCCATTCTTAATACAATTATGCTATTCAATAGCCAATCAATATCCTTCAATACAAACTTTAAAATTCAAGTCCGGCATACGAAATTTCATATGACTTGGCACTCCTGCCACCTCTTTCTCCTCTGCTTTATTCAATGGCCTTTTCGTATTCTTTGTAGAATAAAGTGATATCAATCGCAAGGCTTTCAATCCCTTTTCATTCTTATTTCCAGTCATCACTATGCTTGCATGTCGCCTATTGTTGCCAACAAGAGCTCGAGTCACTGCTAATCGCATTATTATTCCACCACTTTAATACGCACGGAATAATATCACTATCTTGAAAATGTCGAAGTCCTTTCGAATGGAATAATTAAATAGCGTCAGAAGAAAACGCTATTATAAAATATAGTGTCCAAGCAAAGTACTGTAAATATCGGTAGTTTTGCAATAAAAATGGGCTCGTTTATTATTGGCTGCATCTTGTCACATATATTTGGTACGATAGGTAATTGGTCTGTAAATAAGAAAATAGACCGGTAAAAAGAGCAAATTTAACTGGTTAGCAAACCGTTTTGAGAGAGTTGATGAGGTGCTTATTATTGAAATATCACAGTAAAGAACATGAGGTGTGTTGTAATAGTTAGTAGTAATAGTTAGTAATAGTAGTAGTAGTTTGTATCATACTATTGTCCAACTCGTTTCTTGTCTTTATTGACTCGCATGTATATGATGAATGTGTATTCTATCTCTGTGTATCTCTCTTGTTGTCATTTATAGTAACTTTAGTATGAAGAATGTGACGACATTGGACTTGTCCCTTTGTCTACGTGGTGGTGGTAAAGTTCACGGTTCATTAGCACGTGCTGGCAAGGTAAAAGGTCAGACTCCTAAGGTTCCTAAGCAGGAGGACTCGAAGAAAGCACTCACGGGACGAGCGAAGAAACGCTGGCAGTATAATCGCCGCTTTGTGAACGTTGTGGCAGGAATGGGCGGCAAGAAGTTGGGCCCTAATTCGAATGCTGTGAAGCAATAAGCAGAAGTCAGTCTGGATGGAAACAGTGGGTTGCAGTAGGACATTTGATCTTGGTAATGATGATGACGATGATGATGCAGGCTTGGCTCTTCTCTTCCTGAGTTGCGGGTATCACTGTCTCCGTCTTCAGTGGTGGCGATCGAGTCACTATTCTTCATTTTGGTATTGGTTGATTCTAGATCGTCTTGAGGCTGATGTTGGTGTAGACTTGTTGCAAAGTTTACGATGTGTCGGTGCCTTACTAAGAGCCAAATGAATTGATATGTTCCATTCAAAGCGTTTTTTTGCTTTGCTTGAGTCTGTTTTTTTCTTTCTTTCACTTTGTTGTAGCTGTCGAGTTTGTAGTTGTGTGTACTTTGTCGACGTTTTATTTTGAATTTGCTGCAGCTAACAAGTTCATCATATTGACTACCAACACAGGTATCTTCTCTGGATGACGAAGCCCATGTCAAGCAATACAACACTAAGCTTGAGCAACACTGTTGTAATGTCAATCTGAAAGCCATCTCGCTAGTAATCTTACAACGTTTCGATTTGATCGGGTCTAAACGCCGTGCAATTCGTCTGCAGTTGGTCTCTGTTGTTGCACAAGGGGTTGAATGTGCAGCACATCGATGTCTGGAAACAGCGCTAAAGTGAGTCCGTGCTTCTAGAGAATGGGTTCCGATGTTGATGTTTGATCATGTGAGAAAAAACCCATCGAAATCTTGAACTGAATGTGTCTTTGCGTTGAATGATCTACAGATTTCACGAAACTTTGTCGAGTGTTCTTTCCAATAGACCCTGGAGGACAATTGCAACGAGCTGAGAAGCTGATGGCCTAAGCTCAAAGCTGAAAGTGACTTACAGAGAATTCATCATGCACTGTGCGTGGCGACTAGAAGACGACGCGGTATCACTAATAGCTGTTGGCTGCGAAATGCTGATGACATTGCACGCTTTTTGCCAGCAGAGGCGTTTGCCGACACCATTGTAGATTGTCAAAAGTTGTGCACGCACATGTGTAAACTGAGTGCTGGAAGTGGAGAGCAACGCGCGAGCAGGACTGCAAGAGGTTCGAGACAGAAGCTTAGGCGTTGCAAGCAGTACGAGTTAGTCGTGCTACTTTCTGGACGACGTTTCAAGTTTTAGAATAAGTAGCAGTGCGTGATGGAAGAGGTCAAACGAGCGTATGCCGCAGATAAAACGAGCATTGTTCGCTTGAATCTAATCACAACACGACACCAAACGTCCATGCCGAAGTATAATTCACTTGAATTTTGTATTGCTGCACTGACCAAACATACTTTCTTGTCGCTATCTTCTCGTCTTTGTGGAATTCCTAGCGCATCAAACTTCGCTCTTCACGACGGGCTCACGATTTCGTTCATTCATCTTTGGTCCAAACCCCTTTTCATAGGCAAAATGTGGCTGCTGACCTTATGTCTAGGATGTTGTCTCTGTGTGTGCTGCTGTTGTTGCTGTTGCTTTGCTGGTCTCTTTGACCAAGGCAAGGTGTCCCCCTTACCTGTGCCCATCAGGCGGCCCGTTGCGAGGACTTTCCGGCCGACTCGCCGCGCACGTGCGACAGAATTCCACTAAAAAAAGGCGGAACCTGCTGGTTCAAGCGGGTGTATTGCTGGCACCAGCATCGCTACCGGGGTCGGCCTTGTCCAAGTTTACACAGAAAGATGATCGATACGCGGCTTGACTGGCCACTTCAGTCACTTCGAGATACGCTTCGCAGTCAGTCGGTAGCTGCAACCCAGCGGCAGGTCTTCATATCCACATCAGCCGGCATCTTAACAGGGCTGCCACGATATCATCTGGCTTCAAATCTTTCACCTGCTATTGTCACTGAGGTTCCTATCCCCAAGCCGTGTAAGTATCCGATATCGACCGGGTACTGCTTGTCGCTCAACAAGAGCGGCGCTGATTGCCGCAGTGGCCAGCATACTTGCTGGTGAGATTGATGGCTTTGCTCTCCCATACGGCGCCATGGCTGCACTGTTCCCTCCCATTCCGAGTGCGATGCTCACAATCGAAGCTGAAACCAAGTGTACTGCAGGTCGTAAGGTTATTGACAACATACGAACGTGGTGTGTAACTTTCGCTTTCAAGCACCGGGAGTACATCTTTTCCACGGCTGTGTGCTCGCCCCAAACATCGTTAACCAATTGACCGACTGTACATTGATTTGCCATCTGTTCACGCTGAGCGGCTCTCACAAGAATAGCTGGGTCCACCCACATGAGCGGCCCGACCTGACCCACAAGTCCAACGTCACCGGGATGGGCTGCAAGGGTTAGCTCACGGCTCCATTCGATCAGGTCGCCGCATGTACATGCGGTGCACGAGACGTGCTCATAGCGATTGGCAAAGATGTTAAACCTTGCTGTAATGGACGCTGCTGCGGTGTTCACGATCGTGCCGCACGCACTGCTCACACCGTTTACGTACATTGACATCATGCAGTACGTTGTCAAGACGCTCATGCCCAAAATCGTTTTACATCACGACTGCTGCTGTCTTAAGGTATAAGACAAATTGGAGTTTCGTTTGGCAACGCAACGTACATCCGTATTCTTGATTCAATGACGATCAATGAGTGCCCGTTTGCGTGAGAGCTTGCATAACTTGTATGCATGCAACGACAATTGTCGAATATTTGTACACCATAGATCGCGCCAAGCCGCATGAAACGCGCGTTCATCACGTCGTATGGGTTTGACCCTGTATGTTACTCTCTTGTGCTATGGGCGTTTCATCATGCCAAGTCGCAGCTCCTGAATAGCATCTTGCAGATCAATCGCATTCATGAACAAGAAGCAGATGCACACGCGTAAAGACAATCGGTCCACAAAGACAAGAGTCTGCAATTTTTAGCAATGTGCAGCCTATTTCTAGAAGCACGGACTCACTTTAGCGCTGTTTCCAGACATCGATGTGCTGCACATTCAACCCCTTGTGCAACAACAGAGACCAACTGCAGACGAATTGCACGGCGTTTAGACCCGATCAAATCGAAACGTTGTAAGATTACTAGCGAGATGGCTTTCAGATTGACATTACAACAGTGTTGCTCAAGCTTAGTGTTGTATTGCTTGACATGGGCTTCGTCATCCAGAGAAGATACCTGTGTTGGTAGTCAATATGATGAACTTGTTAGCTGCAGCAAATTCAAAATAAAACGTCGACAAAGTACACACAACTACAAACTCGACAGCTACAACAAAGTGAAAGAAAGAAAAAACAGACTCAAGCAAAGCAAAAAAAACGCTTTGAATGGAACATATCAATTCATTTGGCTCTTAGTAAGGCACCGACACATGTAAACTTTGCAACAAGTCTACACCAACATCAGCTTCAAGACGATCTAGAATCAACCAATACCAAAATGAAGAATAGTGACTCGATCGCCACCACTGAAGACGGAGACAGTGATACCCGCAACTCAGGAAGAGAAGAGCCAAGCCTGCATCATCATCGTCATCATCATTACCAAGATCAAATGTCCTACTGCAACCCACTGTTTCCATCCAGACTGACTTCTGCTTATTGCTTCACAGCATTCGAATTAGGGCCCAACTTCTTGCCGCCCATTCCTGCCACAACGTTCACAAAGCGGCGATTATACTGCCAGCGTTTCTTCGCTCGTCCCGTGAGTGCTTTCTTCGACTCCTCCTGCTTAGGAACCTTAGGAGTCTGACCTTTTACCTTGCCAGCACGTGCTAATGAACCGTGAACTTTACCACCACCACGTAGACAAAGGGACAAGTCCAATGTCGTCACATTCTTCATACTAAAGTTACTATAAATGACAACAAGAGAGATACACAGAGATAGAATACACATTCATCATATACATGCGAGTCAATAAAGACAAGAAACGAGTTGGACAATAGTATGATACAAACTACTACTACTATTACTAACTATTACTACTAACTATTACAACACACCTCATGTTCTTTCTGTGATATTTCAATAATAAGCACCTCATCAACTCTCTCAAAACGGTTTGCTAACCAGTTAAATTTGCTCTTTTTACCGGTCTATTTTCTTATTTACAGACCAATTACCTATCGTACCAAATATATGTGACAAAAGATGCAGCCAATAATAAACGAGCCCATTTTTATTGCAAAACTACCGATATTTACAGTACTTTGCTTGGACACTATATTTTATAATAGCGTTTTCTTCTGACGCTATTTAATTATTCCATTCGAAAGGACTTCGACATTTTCAAGATAGTGATATTATTCCGTGCGTATTAAAGTGGTGGAATAATAATGCGATTAGCAGTGACTCGAGCTCTTGTTGGCAACAATAGGCGACATGCAAGCATAGTGATGACTGGAAATAAGAATGAAAAGGGATTGAAAGCCTTGCGATTGATATCACTTTATTCTACAAAGAATACGAAAAGGGCATTGAATAAAGCAGAGGAGAAAGAGGTGGCAGGAGTGCCAAGTCATATGAAATTTCGTATGCCGGACTTGAATTTTAAAGTTTGTATTGAAGGATATTGATTGGCTATTGAATAGCATAATTGTATTAAGAATGGACTGTCTAACTTATATTGATATATATTTATATGTTTTATCATAGGAGGTCGGTAGTAGTGATGCTGCAGACGTGACACTTACCAAATGGTACGTGCAAGAAGGCACAGCCGTGAAGGACGGTACACACATGTGTGAAGTATGATTGAAGTTGTTATTGAAATGAGACAGAGTCGGCTATTGCTGAAAAGATTGCAGTGTGACTGAGCTTCTATGAATGAATCACCTTTTTTCTGGTATTTTCTTCTTGTTAGATTGACACACCGGATCTGTGCTTTCAACTTGAGTCTGGAGACGAGGGATTCATTGCACGACTCTGTGAGCAACCGACGCTGATGTGAATTCTCACGTCATGACTGAATGACTGTGTTAGAAACTGATACGTTCGAATGTATTTTGTGCTGTTTTTCTTAGTGGTAGATGAGGGTGTTAATAACATTGCTCCAGGCAAACCACTAGCTATTATTGTGTCCACGGAAGCGGAGGTCGAGCAGTTTGCACAAAGGCACAAGGAAAATCCACACAATATCGAAGGTACGTGTACGCGTTATCCAGTACGTGACATTGGTTTCTTGTAGCTGCTTACTTTTCGTGTGGTATTGTATTGTGTCTCTTTGATGAGAAAGGGTATGCCGAGCCAACGAGTGCAACCCAGGCTGTTGAAACGGAGGTTGCAGCAGTTCCGACAAAGAATGCGGCGTCGAGCGACGTGTTGCGTATGCTCAACAAGTTGCAGAAGGAGGGACTCTTTGAAGATGGGAAGACACTTAAGGTGCTGAAGTCGCTAGCCCGTAAGAATGATGCTCAGCTGCTCACGACGTTTAAGGCCAGCTATGAGGATGGCGTGTTGGAAGAAGCAGCGTTCGACAAGGCATTTTTTGTGCAGAATGCACTTGAACTGGTGGAAGAGGCGTCAGTAGGAACGACTACGGAACACAATGCAAGCTAGAGTACTGCATTGTTTTTTTTACACAAATGAAGGTTATGTTTGTATCGACGGTAAGGCAGTTTAACTCGACCGTGGACATTACGAGCTTAATGGGACCGATTCAGTATACTGCCGGAACGATATTGCTTCCTGTTAATGTCACAGTCTGACGACCAAACAAAGACTCGATTCGCAACGATGCCCCTTGAATCGTTTCCTGGTACTGGAAACTCCAGCGATTCTGCAAATGCTTCAGTAGTACACATCGTTGATTCGACTGTCAAATGATGATTGACGATGGCTATGGTATCGACTTGGAAACGACATGAGGAAGACACAACAACGAGCTTAGCATGCTTGAAAACCTGCACTTCGCTCTCTGTTGTGACCAAGGCATCAATACCGACTTGCATGTGTCATGAGCAAAAAATGCAACTTAGCTGATGAAGCATTGTTTCAAAGGCGAAAAAGCCGCCACTTGTTGAGCCGGCACAGTTCAAGTTGAAGGAAGACAATAGCTCGTATTGTCCTTCCTTTGAAGATGATGCAGCATTTGATGAACGGCCGGGTCCTTAGATCAAAGGGCTCACAAAACGGGAGACTTGCAAATGAGACTCTAGTCTAATGAGAAGGAGAGAGATTGCAATTGTCGTACTCTGTTGCAGTCATGGCGTTCGAATGGTCAGACGCAGTGATGACAATCAACTTCAGACAAGACAAGACAAGACAAGTATATGACAACCGCATTTTATCTTGTTAGAACGCAAGCAGAAATGCACCAACCAATCAATACTGCTCCTTTTCAGTCCATCGCTTTCCGATTTGTCAAGGTGAAGAGGAAAATGGAGTTTCAGATCTTGTGGCTTTCGTATGGAATTTGGCATATGCATGCGTAATTCTCTTGATCATCATTGGATCAAAGTCACCAAACTTTGCAGCATGTCCTTAACTCGCTGTAGCTTGATGTCATCATACATCCAGAGTGATCTAGTCGCGCTTCAAAAAAAGCGAAACTAGACAAAAATTCCAAGCTCTTTCAGTTTGAAATATGTGTCAAATTGCCTGCAGATACATGAGGTGTTTGTTATCGTGCACGGTAAAAGCCAAAGCTCTTAGCTCAAGATCCCAAGACAAAGTAATTGGCTTAAGATTGGGCTTGCATCTATCGGCATTATTCAAGTAGGTAGCTATTTCTACTTTCAGTTGACATCTTCAGGTCTGTCGATCCAAGAATGAGGGGATAGTACGAATAACTTGATGTCATCTACTACGCTGCCATCATACTATTTGTGAGGACGTCGTTTACCTTGCAATTGCTTGGTACTGTACTTGATTGGAGTAGAGTTTACAGAAGTAGTTGCTCCACCAACTTTGCTGCGCAAGATTCAATAGAATTTATTGCCCGCCGTCCACAGCAGCCAGTAGACATCTGGACCTTGTAATGCATGCAGCTATCGAGGCATGACCGGGACGTTCATCAGTCACCTCGTTTACCATTGATTCGCTTATACCTCGCCGTGTAAGAATCTCGGCAGGTAACTTGAAACTTGAGCACGCCGAGCTTGGTAGCAAATACAGATTCATGAGGCAAAATGACTTGTACGGACTGACACGGGATCAAGTACCAGCTTAACTTGGTTGACCTGTTTTGTCGGCCAATTCGGTCTTATCAATTCAACCTGAGCAGGAGATCAGAATCATCTTGGGCTTGGTGCAACGATTCATGGCGACGCAAAATGACTGATCTCTCTTACTTCATCACGAAAGGTCTTTTTCATCAGTTTGCAGTCGAAGACCTGATACCAATCTGTCCTTGTCCTTCATTTGAAGCTACCGCTTGTTTGGTTGCTGGAGCTTTGTCGACGCATTCAACGCGCTGTTTTCTCAAGTCGGCCATCCACTTTTCTAATGCATCGTGTACACAGTACGCTATGCCAGACCTCGCAACATTGAGCACTAGACTGCAAAACAGCATCATCCTCGACAGTTTCTCAGTCGCTCTCGTTTACAGAACTTCGCCACGAGGAATAGCACCCTTTGCGTATAATCCATAGGTCCGGTGTTGAATGACTGTGTGATGTTGTTATCATGTTGGCGTTGCAAGTGCTGTCCGAGCACGTAAGGCACACAGTACGTCATGGAACAACCAACCACTCAAGTAAAATTGCTTCATGTGGCATGACAATCCTCAGATCAGGCCAAAGCTTCAAATACAACTCAGAATGAAACAAAAGGTGCTATCAAGTAGAGTATGTCGTGTTCAGCCACCGCTTTAGTTGGAGCATTACAACGCGTTAGACATTGCTGGGTTTATGTGAAGTCATCAGAATTGCTAGCAGAGCGCCATTCTTGGATTGTCGGACGTAGCAACGAAAGTTCAAAACTCAGACTGTTTCGATGGTAGCCGAGTTTGGTGCGCGCAGATTTCAATATGACTCAGATTCTAGCCGGTGAGACGAAAGAGAGCGATTCCGAGAGATATCGAGGGTCTATCTTGGTGCTTTCAATGTTCTTTCTAGCCAGCTCACTTTCCAATTTACTTTGCCGCCTCAAGGACAAACTGAACAAGTACATTTTCAAGAGTTGACACGAAAGACAATGACGAGGCTACAACGTTTCATCTTCGCAAGCTTTACCTTCATCATTGGCCGGATTGCTGCCGATGAGAAGCTCTCTGATCAGCAAATCGAAAGCCAAGTTGACATGCTAATGTCGTCCATGGTAAGATAGACGACGATTCTTGCCCCTAACATAAGCTGAAACAGCATTCCTGACAATGTTTCGTCGTTTGTGCAGAACTTGGACGCTATGCTTGGCCAGATGACGCAGCTAGACGTTAGCACGATTCTACACCCGAACCGCACATTGAATGAAGCTGTTGTACACGAGCATGCAAAGCTCAACGTGGGGTCATACCTGAATACCCCTGGTGCTGAGCTGAACGATTCAAACGCGAACTCCACTCATAATTTCTCTCCAAGACAATGGCGGGATCTAATCACGAAGATTCAAGCCATTTACGCCAGCCACGGCAGCCACCCGATCATCTACGGAATCGACTCGGTACATGGGGCCAATTACGTTCGTGGAGCAGTGATGTTTGGCCAACAGCTCAATGCCGCTGCTACGTTTAATCCAGAACTGGTATACGAAATGGGCAGAATCGCCGCACGAGACACCGGAGCTGCTGGAATCCCATGGCTGTTTGCTCCGATCCTTGAGATCTCGCAAAATCCTCTCTGGGCGAGAACTTTTGAGACTTTTGGAGAGGACCCCCACCTAGTTTCTGTCATGGCTGACGCTATCATTCGTGGCATCCAAAGCAACGGCACAATAGCCGCATGCATGAAGCATATCATCGGATACTCAAAGACACCAACTGGTCACGACCGTGCAGGTGTCACGATATCCGACTTTAATTTACTCAACCATTTTGCTCCTCCATTCATAGCTGCGATCAAAGCAGGCGTCATGACCGCCATGGAGAGCTATATTTCGATCAACGGGGTCCCGGTCGTTGCCAACACGAGAATCCTGAGAGATTTGGTGCGTCACGACATGAGCTATCAAGGTCTCATCGTCACGGATTATGCTGAGATTCACAATCTCCATGCGTGGCACCGTGTTGCCAAGACAGATCAAGATGCAGTTCGGATGGCGCTGACGAATGCCCCGCTAGACATGAGTATGGTGCCGCTCAACACTTCATTCATTGACATAGCTCGTCTGACCGTTCAAAAGAACCCTGAGCTGTTGAGTCGAGTGAAAGACTCAGCCCGCCGAATTTTAACGACCAAGGTGAAACTCGGTTTGTTTGAAAATGCTATTCCAGGAACTGAAAACGACATTGCTCTTGTTGGCCGAAACGAAAGCCGACAAGCAGCACTGGAGCTTGCACGCGAGTCTATCATTCTTCTCAAGAACAAAGACAATATACTACCTCTGGGTGCAGATAGCAAAGTTTTCCTGACGGGGCACGCAGCAGACAACGTGGGGTTGCTATGCGGAGGCTGGTCTCTTCGCTGGCAAGGCGTCTCGGGCAATGCACTCTTACCAAACGGCATCTCGCTTCGACAAGGTATCGCAAATGTGCTGAACACAAGTACAGTTCACTATGCAAACGGTCTGCACCCCAATGGCTCTTACTCTTCGGCCGATCTTAAACAAGCTAAGCACTGGGCCAAGAGATCGACTTGTACGATTATCGCCATTGGTGAGGACGTATATGCAGAGAAGCCTGGCGATATAGACGATCTAAACCTCCCACTGGGTCAAATCGAGTACGTTCGCGAGATTGCTGCTACTGGCACGAAGGTGATCCTTGTTTTGGCTCAAGGTCGTCCTCGATTGCTTCAGGGTATCGCTCAAATTGCCCATGCTGTTGTGTACGCTATGCTTCCGGGTGAACTGGGTGGTCAAGCAATGGCCGAAATCCTATTTGGACGCGTTAATCCAAGTGGCAGACTTCCCATCACGTACCCGAAGACGTCAGCCAACGTCGCGATTCCCTACAATCACCTTGTCAGTACGCGCTGTCGTGATGAAGGGCCGTGCAACATGGAGTGGAACTTCGGACACGGGTTGAGCTATGCTGCGTTCCAGTATGGTGAGTTGTCTCTGAGCTCACCCTCTATCTCGAACAGCGATGATGCTTTGCTCAAGGTCAGTGTTGCAGTTACGAATGCTGGCTCGACAGCAGGCAAAGAAACAGTGATGCTGTTCCTTATTCAGCCATTCCGCGCGATTTCCGTACCAGAGACCAAGCAACTGAAAAGGTTTACCAAGATTTACCTTCAGCCAGGCCAAACCCAAGTGGTTTCATTTACTCTTACACGAGAAGACTGGGGGGTGTTCGACCCGAAGATCGGTTCTGGGTTCCACCGCATTGTTGAAGCAGGTAAGTACTTCGTTGCTGTGAAACCTGAAACGAAGTGCAACGTCTACGACGAAAGTGGCGCTACGTCTAGCGCCCTTTGTGCACAATTCACGATCCAAGACAACTAGCAAGACACGCTCGACCGACTACGTCACACTCTTGCTTGAGGAGGCTGACCTAAAATTCTTGAATACAATCAAAGCTATCGATTCGATCTGCGCCTTGTTTTCCACCATGAATTACTCCAGTCTCTGCTCTTCCAATCTGGATGTCAACTAACTCTTTTCTTCGTTATTCTCCTCTGGCTCTGAAGAAGCTGGCGGTGCAAGCTTTAAGAACTCCAGCAATAGTGCTAGTGCACGTGTATTTGCACATCTCTTGCATACCTCATTAAGATAGCCGTGAAGTCCGATAGCCTTCTGTTTCAAATAGTTAGGCTCAAACTTGTTCCACATCCTTGTACCGGGTAGTGCAGGAATCTGCTCGTGTGGAAACATTTTGCGCAGCTGGCGATGCAATATGGCAAACTCAGAGTACCGTCGCTGAACAACACTACTGCCTGCAGTTGACGATGCAACTTGGATAACGAAAGCAACATATTCTTGGCCGTTCTCATCGAATTGAATTTGGTATCCTTCAATCTTCGTTTTTAACCATTCGCCAACTAGACCCACTCTTTTAGCTCCATCAAAACTCTCTCTCGAGCTTTCAGACATAATCAGCACTGAGGATGGACTGTTTTCCAGCAAATCTTCGTGACGAATAATTTCCACCGTGGGAATTTTTTCAAGTACTTCTACCCAGCGGTTAAATGACTCTTGGTTCTGCACTCGCATTTCGCACGCTGCTCCACGACGAGCTACCACACGAATAAGATACTCACGCTCGTAACAGCACGCCTTCGTCATTCGAAGTGGGAACTGTGCAACAAAATCGAGCTTCGGCGAGTTTTCGTAGCACGACAGATAATCATCTTGCAAAACTAGCCACCGGTCATTCCACGAATCATACCACCCGTTTGCGGTTCTTTCTTTGGCAAAACCAGCCTTAATCGCGTTGAAATAATCGATGCTCTTTCCAGTTGGAAGATCAACAAGGTTTGCAGTATCTAGGGTAGCCTTGCCAGCAGTTAAATCATCATCAGCTTTGTCGATTGCTCGATTAATTGCCTCCATCCAAGCGTCACGAACCGGCGTCGATGTAGCCTTAAAAACGTGTACATCAGGAAGAACGGCATTATTCAATGCTGGCGGTACAGTCGGTGAAGCGGAAGTCTCGCTCGGGATAATCTTCATCATAAATGAGTCCTCTCCATACATAGCTCTTGTCGTCGCAGTCAGCTTGAGTCGCCACTTTCGACGGCAGGCAACTTCACTCAGTCGGGATAGAAAATAAAGACGATCCTTGTCCATTAAAACAACCTGCTCGCGCGATAAACCCGTGCATCGGTCGCGAACGAGGGCTGTCGCAGACAATAAGATCTTTGCATGCGGCGTGAGCTTCACAATGCTTCTCATAAGCTTTGGCAAAGGAACTCGTGCACTCATGTACCGGTGCAGAATGTCAACCACCGGCTGACATAATTGCATGAGAGTAAACAGTACAACATCATCGCTCATCCAATAAGACGAGTGGGAGGCAGCAGCAAAAGCTACCTCCATCATACCTTGTTCACGTTTTCGACGACGCATGACGTAGTCATGGCGATACGCAAACCCGTGCACTGGACTTGTTAGACCTTCCCACAATTCCTGCAGTCGACCAAAGCTTTGATCCTTAACTGCACTATACTGTGCATAGAACAAAAAACAAAAAGAGGACGTTGGCGACGTTCATAAATCAGCAAGCAAGTTGACTTTTCAGTATTTCAGCACCTGCATTAACTGCACTGGTTCCTTATCACGCATTTCTTGCATGATTAATGGTTCAATACGATAAGCAATCGGGTCGATGGGGTGGTAAACATTGAAATACCGTCGGCAATTTGGAATCTTGATTCCAGGAGTAAACTTTCCGTCGTCAATATTGAGGTCTCCCCTCGCCAAAATCATCACTCCCACCGGAGAACTACCAGAACAACACATTAGTATTAGCTGCCGCATTACATCATGACAAAGCGACGCGAAAATCGCCTTACCCGACTCCAAAGAAATTGTCAACCTCAAATTCCAGACCAGGGAAACGCACGCCATTACCGGCGATATCGCCCGGTTTGTGTGTCAGAATATCGTACGAAATCATCGAGCCAAGTGAGTGGGCGAATATTGATAACTTGCCATCCCATCCTATATATAAGCAAACATTGAAAACAAGCTGTTATTAAAACCATTATACGTATATCAGCATCAGATGCTTCGTGCAAACGCACCCGGGTGTTCGTTCATGAAGACACGGTACTTTTCATTGAGTTGCTGAGTGACCGAATCCACAATAAGTTGTCCATACCGGGGTGATAAATAGTATAGAACGTCCATGAACGTTTCTTTGTTGAATTCACGAATGCTGAAAATTCACAAGCACAACACGATGCTATTAGCGAGCTAACTTGATAAATATCTCTGACATTGAGTGAACGGCTACGTACGCAGACGCTCCTTCCGGAGAGATCAGGTCAAAAATGTTGTCTAAGCCCGTTGGTTCATGAAGGTCTTCATGCCACTCGATCGACTGCATTTCTAGTGCCATTGGAATATCTTGAAAGGTAGTTTCTAGCATTGTGCGAAAAATATCTCGAAATGCGTGATTGCCGCCTTCGATATCTGTCTCTCCATTCCACGACTTGAATTCTCCATCACGAAAGTCAATATGTTGTCCAATTCCATGGATAACAAAAATAAGGTGGTTAAATGAGCGGAGTCGGATCTATAGACAACATGAAGCGCTCATTAGCACCCTTGAAGAACTGCATCATCATCATAAAAATTTGTACTACAGTATGTACCGTCGAGGGGTACTCTTTGCCGTCTTCGTCACTGCTGCCAGCTTCATCGGCACCTGCAATCATCAAAATAGCCACATCAGTCAATCCATCACCGCTTCTGCCCTCTGCTAATTACATACTTGACGACGTCAACGTTCGCAATGTGACTGCTTTGCTGTAGCTTTTGTTACGAAACTTGGCGACGCTCGGTCTTGCCAATTCGTTTTTCATATGTTCATAATGCACCTTCAAGAGCGGTACTCTTAGCGCCGCTTGAGGTAAGAGTCTTGCAAAGTCCACCACAATTGAGTCCAGTACCGGTGCTGGGATATGTTGTGCTAAGTAAGCGTAAAAGCTTTCAGCTGAATCATTGCCGGTTCCAAATTGAAGCGCATTTGCTTTAAAATGCTTAAACTCGTGTTCATCCTGCAGTGCTTGCTGTACTCTTTCAGTAACATCATTATTCAGTGCTACAGCAGCTTTTCGACCTTTTACTGGTTCAACATCTTGAAATGATGTTTCTTCTATCCTTTCCCCATCCATATCGCCCTCGGGAGAACTGCACACCTCTTCTTCCTCTTCTGACAATGGCATTGAGCAATTACTACTCAATGTTCTCTCTAGTGCTGGATCAGCAGTTACAAGTGCTACACTCTCTTGAATCTTTAATCTAAACATATCGAATGTCTCGTCTAAAGTCATACGACAATCCTGTAATGCAGATAGATTCTGCCATACAATTTGACTAGGAAGTGCAACCACTTGGTCATTATTACTCACCACGTCTCTGTCCGTTTCTAGTGTCTCTTCTTCTTCTAACAGTCGCTCCATACGTTTCATAAGTTCGTTTACTTGACACTTATATTGCTGGATGTAATCACGAGGAAAGAAAGTACGACATGGTAGCATCTCAAGCGATGACAAGTCCATCATAACATGTACCTATCTTTTCGCGACGAAAAAATCAAGAGTGAATGTCAAAAAGGATAAGCATGGTTCATTGGTGTTGTTTACCTCAAACACGTGTTGTGGTGGTGGTGGTGTATTTTTATTCGGAGAAAATCCGGTTATGACAAGTTCATGGTTCAAGTTGAAGCTGTCTTGCGTGCTAACTATGAAAACAATATACATGTGATTTACTTCTGGCTGTCTATCCATACCATATAATCATCAATAAGCACAGGCCAGGCTTCATTCTCGTCGTAATTGGCATAGGAATCGCGTACTTTTACAAAAAACTCATAGAGTAAGTCCCACGTATCACGCGTTACGCCCTTTACGGGCTTTTTCTCTGCCAAAAACGTCAGCCAACTCGACGTGAGCTGCTCAAAGCGTGTCGATAGTAGCAGATCCCACATGGCCGTGGCAATATCGATACTGAGACTCTTCTGACCTGGTTCCTTGGAAAAACCAAAACAGAAGCAGTAAAACTTCTTGAACTCGGTCTCACTTGCGATAACTTCACGCAATTCAGAAACTTTGGCCTTCAGCTGAGTGATAGAGTCACATTCCATCTCCTGCATACCTTTCTTCCACTCTTTGCGTGTAAATGTGCACATATAGGCTGCCTGCATCTTCCACGCAATCACCAGTACGACGATATCCTGCGGGTCTACACCAATGTCCTCGCAGAACTTAAGAATACCCTCTTCGTTAATGACATCTTCGTCATCATCAGGGTCTAAGTCAAGAGACAAGCGACAGTTCATCAGCTCGGTCATAGTAATCAAAGTATCACTGCACTAGTACCTGTATAGCTATCGAACCACGCGTTCACGGCGTCCATCGAGACAGTCGACTCTTTACTATCAACGATTAAAGGCAAACAAGGCACGTCAGTATAAACTGCTGCATACAATAAGAGCTTCATCTGTACGTAAAATAATCACGCACTCAAGTGTAAGGCTCTTGCCTTCGTTTGCATAGAACTCATCGACTGCACGCATCAAGTCCCAGCTAAATTTCTCCAAGTACGACTTGGCCATGAAGTCACTACATTTTTACAATCAGCACAGTGTCAGTTGAGGACAGTTCACATTTATACCATACCTATTGTCACAAATAAAACTCTGCAGTATCCACGTACGTAGTGTTGGTCGTGTTTTTAAACGCCTGGAGCTTTTTCTTCTTGTCGTTTAGAAATTTACTTGACTATAGTAGGAATAGAGAAAGACAGAAGAAAAGGAACGAGGGTTAGATGTATATGTATCGGTAAGAACAGCTTAGATTTGGCTGAAGAATCCAGCATTTATGGAAGACTCTCACCATTTTGACGTGGCGCTTTTTGTATTTATTTAAAACCTCGTCAAGTCATATGGTGTAAACCACACCAACATAATAATAAAAACTTATGCTGATTATTTTATATTGCGCACGAAAATGATGTCAATGTATTTGTTACTTGCATTAGTTGATACAAAATGGTAAAAACCAACTGAAAAGAAAATCCGACTGAAAAAGTATGATACAGACAAGCAAGCCATACTATCCAAATCAACCTTCGCAGGCTCTAACAGCCATACTACCCAAATCAACCTTCGCAGGATCTAACACACACTCAGATCCAACGTGTTGTGCACATGAACCGACCACCATCGCGCACACGAGATGTCGCCACATTACTACGGCCACTGTACCGAGGTCCCCGTTTCCAATTACGACGCGTCCGCTTCTCCTGATAACGGTGCAGGGCACGCTTTCTTTCTAGCGTCTTCGAGCTCTTGCAGATCCAACACGTCTCGGTACTGTGATGGTACTTGGCAACCTTGGCTTTCTCACTTGTTGGTGACATCAATTGCGCACGTCGATTGACGACAGGGGCATCAGCAACCTTTATGAAAGCACAGCTAACAGCAAAAGACAAGTCCATCCGAGGTACTTGAATGCGCGGAATCCGCGAGTCCAAGTTCTGAAAGATAGGGGTGCGGATACATGAACGAGGGTCCAACGGAGCCGTAGTCGCCCAACAAGGGGCACAAAGAATAATTTTGACGTCAAGGCTCGAGTCCGTGTCGCTGTCATTCTCCTCAATATTTTCATCCTTGCGGTTCTCCAAGGTCTCCGTCGTTTTCGTCTCTTCCCCCACTAGCATGTCGAATGCAGCCGAAAGATCATTCACGTTCACCACGTCATCGTCCAAACTATCAATCCAAGCTACACTCGTGTCATCACTAGCATCAACGTCTTCCAGATCATCACATGGAAGTGGAGTATAATGCACTCCATTCGCAAATTCGTCAAATAATGGTGACAAATCATCCACATCGTGTGCCAGTTTTCCGTCGTCGGTCTTTGCAATGAGCTCCACTGGCTGGTCCAGCTGCCATCCTTCCTTCCACTTCTCCAGAGGAAGTGCCATACGCCGCCATGTCGTCGCTTCTTCAACGTTATGCAACATACTACCACTTGATCGTCTTTCTTTGTGTTTCTTCTTCTTCTTTCTCCTTCTCTTGTCTTCAATTCTTCATTTCTGGGATATACCATCCTTCTTTCTAACTCCGTGCTACGTACGTCGTCATCATTTCTAACGTTCCATTTGTTTTCAAACGCTCTTGTCATCTTCTCTTTGGTCCATCTTCATATTGAGTACGGACAAAAAAGCTAGCACTAATCTTCAAGACATTATCTTGACCATCACGCTAAAAAACACACCAACTTAGAAAGACATAGTCTCCCTATTTGTTTTGCTTTTCTTAAGCTGCTTCCTGGGTAAAGGGATCGGGTGAGGGGGCCACGTGCGGCGTTTTAAAGAATGAGAGCCAGGTGTGAACAAACGTGTTAGTAGTGAAGAAAACAAATTGTAATCATTATATGAAGGATACCATATCATGAGAGGAATACATGACTGCAAAAGACACGTGGAGATTGTCACATACACCCATCTATTAGTTCTCACAGGAATCATGTCGCCAGTGTTCTACATTTGACAACAATACCTCTACAATTCGGTAACAAGTTTAGCGTTTTTTGCGGAGCAATGAGTGACTCTATATTGATGAGCCGCTCATATCACTGTGTAGCATAGCTCGGCCATGACTTTCCTAAACCATTCATTTTATCTGCCGTTTTATGTTATTACTGTACCGTTCCTAACACTGCAGACTTTATGATGTGAGTAAACAAATGCAGCAAATGTGACTTAAGCTCTACTTCAACCAATCTCCGAATAAAACCGGTAAAAAAAGCGCAGAGGGTAGTTACCGTGTTTCCATTTCAATTCATTGCAGCCATGGAACGGTATCAGCGCATTGAGAAGGGCGGTTCCATTGGTGAAGGCACGTACGGTGTCGTTTACAAGTCACTGGATTTGAAAACAAAGAAAGTAGTGGCGCTGAAACGTATTCGGTTAGAGACGGAGGACGACGGGATTCCTAGTACAGCGCTGCGCGAGATTTCCGTGCTACGTGAGTTGGAACATCCGAATATCGTGAGGCAGGGCCACAAGTTTAGCAGAATGATTGTTTTGTTGGATTCAATCGAATATTGATCTAATCGATTACTTGTAGTCTATTGGACTGTCTGCAGGAAGATGGGAAGCTTTTTCTCGTATTTGAGTTCATGGATATGGACCTGAAACGACACATGGAACACAAGACAGGCAAGCTTGAGTCGAGTCAAATCAAGGTCTGCAGACGTTGATGATTATCAAATCATCTAAATAATTGACGGACTGATTGGATGCTTTTTGGTGCAGAGTTTTCTGTACCAGTTGCTGAAAGGACTTGCGTTTTCACACTCGCGCGGCATCATGCATCGGTGCGTGCAGCTGATGAAGATTTAGACGGGTGCATCTAACGATCATATTTCGTGTTGTTGCTATTGGTTGTTGTAGAGACTTGAAGCCGCAGAATTTGCTGGTGAACACAACGGGTGAACTAAAGATCGCCGACTTTGGCTTGGCGAGAGCTTTCAGTCTGCCGATTAGAAAATATACACACGAGGTGGTCACACTGTGGTATCGAGCGCCCGAGATCTTGCTCGGCCAGGAAGTGTACTCACCCCCTGTCGATATTTGGTCCGTCGGAGTTATTTTTGCCGAGATGGTGTTGAAGAAGCCGCTCTTCCCCGGCGACTCCGAGATTGACCAACTCTATCGTATCTTTAGGTAGAGTGTATCCTTGCTAGTTGCTGGGTATGTTTTGTCCAACTGTCGCTGACTTTAGCTGCACATGGTGATCAGGACTTTTGGTACGCCAAATGAAGCATTATGGCCAGGTGTGACAAAGCTCCGAGACTATGCGTCTACGTTTCCGAAGTGGAAGAAGAAGAATATACGAGAATTATTTCCTCAGCTAGACGAGAGTGGACTAAACTTGTTGGAGGTAAGTACATTCATTCATGCACTGTAAAGGTTGTAAAGGTGTTGGCTGACTTTTTTGTGATGGTGGTGGTAATATAATAAGTTCATGCTGCGCTACGATCCATCCATGAGAATCAGTGCAAAAGAGGCACTGCGTCACCCATACTTTGATGACGTGGATGCCGAGTTTATGTAATTTCAGATTTGAATTTACCTGTCAACGGTAGACAAAGGTCTTGACGCTTTTGATCCCGTCCATTAATCTTGAATCAGTACGCTTACTTTATCGAGTTTACATGGATCCATTCCACTCTCGTTACTTTAATGTACGTGATGCCACATCTGCAGTTTTTGAGGGTCGCAAATCGTTGGGCCCAGGTCCGAGATTTCTAGGATACTATTCTGCTACGAACGAAACCAAATGATTACTTCTTTCGTACTGGCTGTGGCTAGATCCCTGAGCGAATTGCTCATGACAAACTTGTATCAAGTATACCGAGAAGCTCATTTGCTTGCCAGTTTATCTTCAATCGTTGCAGTTACGCAACTTGCTCAAGGACATTTTTGCTAGTGTGTTTTCTAAGAAATGCTTTTCATTAATTCACTTCTTATTCTTGAATATTCACATCGTCTTGATTCTTGATACATCACCATAAATTTGATCTGAATTGGTGAAGTAAGTACAAATCTACATCGATAAAGCGCAGTCGGCACGTAATCAGTGGATAATGATCAAGTGGTAATTGTCTTACACTTGGTCTTAGCAAACACCAAAGGTGTACAACATTGAATACGAAATCATCAGGCCATGCACAATATCTTGCACGTTAGAATTATTTATCATTCTGCTAGTAACAGTCTATCAGCATATTAGATCATTTTCAAGGTCGCGCCTCTCTTGCATTATCCTGTATCTCGTGTCGTTAGAGCTTGAATGACTAGGATGCAGTCCTGTCAAGATAGAGGACAACAATCTCGTGTGAATTTGGGATACCTTCAACTATCGTATTGTCTCTGCAGTTCATCGTCACAACACCAACTTCAGTCTTCACCGCTTCTAGTTACACGTTTGACCTAGCACGTTTACTTGAAAAGATGTCGCTTGCTCCTTTCACTCGCAAGTAAGAACAGTTAGCTGAGACGCTGCAAGAGCAATACGATCAAAGCTGAAGCTCTCTTGACTGCCTCTTTCGTTCTCGACAACACCCCACTGTCTTTTTTCTCGATAACTGCTAGTTCTTCCGCATCGATGAAAGCGACGATCGAATTATCAGCACCACACTGCTGAGGAAAGTGCTGCGGCGAACGATGCAATCATCTATCACTGAAACTTCTGCTTTTGTTATTTTTGATTGCTCATCTCAGTTTGTACAAGTGTGAGAGTTCCTAGTCAATGGCAAGTTGTGAGAAGTAGAACAGAATGTAGCAATGGGCGAGGAGCTTATTGGTGGTGCAGTGACTTGGTGTGGCCACGTCGGACGATCCAGACGAATGCAGTGTACCAACATACCTGAACAACGATAATATGGCAGTACTTCATAGGCATCTATCTACATTTGCGCACGTGACGTTGTCCAGCAAATGAAACAGGTTTCGGGTGAAGTGTTGGAATCACCTCGACGGCGTGCCGTGTTCGAAGAAAGCGGAAACGTACCAAAGCAAGAATGGCGTGTCTTCTGGTATGAAAATAATCGTGAAGGAGAAGGGAGTACGAATCGTGTGAGAGAACGCACAATGACAACAGGTAGCAAGCATCTAGCTAGCTCATACCTCATACATTCATTTGGAGAGATTTTTTCTTGCTGTAAAGATTCATGTAACGACGCTATGCCTACGGTTGCTCACAAAGACACACATGTTCATGAGAAGATTGTTGTATACGATTGCAGGCGCAGAAGCAAAGACATTATTTTTAGTTGGCAGCTGTGATGATCTGGCCAACGGTGAGTAAGAGCTGCATGGCTCCTGGTATATTTTGTCGTATCATCCGCTGAAAAAGAATTGCCGCGCGTCGGATCATCATGGGAGATTGGCTGTGGCTTGGTCGGCCGAAAGCTCTGGAACATTTTAGATGCATTTCCAGTGGAGGACGTTTTTGATCCGCTTCGAGAGTGAACGGATGTCGACAATGCTGCTGCAATTGCAGCCAACCAACGCTCACGCTCTTGTGAACTTGATGCACGCATGGTAAGAAGTTTCCCGTTTGAGCCGTGCTGGAGACGAATGATATGGTTCTCTGCATCTTTGCTGAAAACATTGACGAGCTTTACGGTCGAGTCTAGAGCAATCGTCATGGTTCCACCTGCAATGCGCGGACGCCGAATAACAAGGTTGAAAGCTCCACAAGTAGCAGCTTGTTTTGGGTGTGCAACGCACACTAGACAGACGGGACTCGGAAACCTGCACAACAACGGTTTGAGATCATGTGAATTCAGGAGATGCATAGGATACTTTTGAAACTTACCACATGAGGTTCCACGCTTGAACAGATAGTTTTCCGTACCACATTGTAGTGGTGATAGTACGAGCTTGTGTGAGAAAGCTCGTCGGTGACTTTGTTGCTTGGTCGACGTATTCTTGAGTGAGCAAATTTGGAAATGCTAGGAGTCAACTTGGCTCGCGAAATGCCAGTGGCGTGACTAACTCTGGTGGAATAAAGTTTCGGTGCCGTGCGTGAAAGCAAAGATGAAGTCAAAATGGATTTTCAATCATCGAAATCAAGTAATGGCTTGAGACTTGGTTCTTGAGGCATGTTGAATACAGAGAACATCACTAAGACTGTTACTAACGTGATCCTGTTTGCAGTGGCTGAGGTTACTCCATCAAATGTCCATCAAGAAGATGCTAGATGTTTCGCACATTTGCCACGGCTATTTCACTGCCACTTAGTGGTTGAAACGAATACCAACTTGATGTCGGACGAGAGATGCAGTTTTTTTGGCTGTATCAAGATGTGCGAACAGGACGAGAACGTATTTATAAACAAGAATGTCACGAAACTTATTCTACGATCCTACCTAGGGCTTTTTCGAATCATTACTAGCAATCACTTTTCCTTTCCATAGTGGTTTCTCTGGATAGTAAGCATTCCGATGAAACAAGGATGAGTTACACACGAAAGCATTTCTGATATCCATGTTCTTATCATGTCTATGAAGCTGATGCGTAACTACTTGCTGAACACATAGCGGGTACCTGAGACGTTCGTATTACCCCGTAGTATGCTTTAGATCTCATTAGATCTATGCAGAATGCAGATCGAAGCAAGTTTTGCATTTGTTGCGAATGGTGAGGCTTCAGTCTTTTCCGCAACGCTACCCTGAGGACTGTGGTGTTAATAACTTAATCTTCCCTGAACAACTCTTGTCGATGCGGTAGAACTAGCAGTCATCTGAAAAGCAGTGGCGTGTCTACTTCTTATTTGTGGTGCTTTTGGAGACTGTTAGTGCTGAGAACAAAAGAGGCGGTCAAAATGGCTTCAGTTTTGATCGTAATGCTCTTCCAGCGTCTCAGCTAACTGGTCTCACGTGCGAGTGGGAGGAGCAAAGTGACATCGTTTTATGTTGAAGGGTCAGCCAAACGTGTGGCCCGCAGTGGTTGGTACTGTAGGTAGATGGACTGCAGAAGCATTACGATCCTGAAAGGAATTACAAATCCGGACGAGTTCATTTTGTCTGTACATAACAACATGATAGCCTCTAATCAGGCCAACGGCTGTCTTGGAACAGCGTTTGATCCGTTATGACGCGAGTCGATTGATATGTAGCCGAGAAGTTAGGTCATTGATGAGTGTGGGAAAGAAAGAACGAAGCTAGATATATACCCAGTCTCCAAATTCTGCTACAGTTTGAAGACGTTAAATATTCAATCATTGCTGAATGTTGATTCGCAGCATGATGATCATTCTAAAGGACTGCAAGTGCACACATTCCCATGCAGCAAGCGCTACTATCCTTCTTCGCCTTGCCATTGCTACGACATCACAAAAAGCTTATACTTGATAGGACGTGCACTGGGTCGCCAATACGAGACACAATCCTAGTTTAATGGAGCTGCTTAGTTTTGTATTGGATTGGATTCAGCTTGAAACTCATGTAGGCGTTCTATATGCAAACAACAATCTGTTTGTATTGCAAATCTAAAAGACAAGAAAAACTGATTATCAAAACCACTTGGAAACAATAGAAACTCTTCTTCTTTAGTAGAAAACGGTCATGTCAAATTTATGTCACCATATTGGATTAGCCATCGTATTGATATTCGTTCCTTATTTTGTGTCAAAACCAAAAGTAACGCAAACTCGTCGAGACCCATTTCTTTTAGTTGTTTTTGATTGAAGTAAGTATAACTATATACAAATTATTTTATAAATTTACGTGCGTACTTAGTAAACATGGCTACTTGGTAGTCAACATGTACTTTTCATTTCTCTTCTCTCTCTCGGTCATAATGGACGCTCAGCGCGCTTTACTCGATAGTCTTATGGGTTTAAATCGTGATGGAGATCGACCAAATGAAGCTACATTAGACTATACACATCCTAAAGTATGTAAACTCTATTTATGTGGTTTATGTCCACGTGAATTGTTTCAACATACACGTCTAGATTCAGGTGCGTGTGATTTCCTGCATATTCCTGCTTTACGTGTGGCTTTTCAAGAAGAACAGGTCGTGAAACGGGACTTTGACTATGAACAACAATTAGCCAATGAGCTTTCAAAGATGCTGGTCGATGTTGAAAAGAAAATTACACGGGCTCAGAAACGATTGGACGAAAATGGAGAAGAGAATCAGGAGAGGATCCAGATCCTCGAGCTTACAAAGGAGATGCAGGACGCAACAAGTCTGGCTGAACAAGCAACAAAAGAAGGACATATTGACAAATCCATGCAATTAATGGAGCATGTGGAACTTTTGAAGAGGAAAAGAAGAGAAGTGCTGCGTCAAAACAATGTGAATTCAAATGCTACGGGGGTAGCCATGATGGTGGAAAATGTGAACCAGAAATTACGAGTCTGTGACGTGTGTGGCGCGTTTCTAAGCATTTTTGACAGTGATCGAAGACTAGCTGATCATTTTGGAGGTAAAGTACACGTTGGCTATGTACAGATTCGAAAGAAATTAAAGGAATTGATGGACAAGAGAAATGCAGACAAGAAGGAAGATAAGCCGAAACGATGGCGGCCCGTGGATCGATTGAAACGAGACGAACATTTGCATAGACGGCGAGAAAGCAGACCAGAACGTAGTCGCGTGGATGATCGAGAGCGGCCGAGAGATAGAGATCGGGTGAGGAGGAGTCGAGAGCGCCGACGTCATCGTGATCGAAGTCACGGCCGTAGCCATCGGAGACGACGATCGAAGAGCTCTAGCCGTAGTCCTGAGCGAAAGCAAAGTCGGAGTCATCGACATCGCCACTAGAATGGAAATGTGCTGTGGCATTTTTATGCCAAGAACGCAATAGCCATTAATGCTGGTTACGTCACTTTGTGTTTACTACTGCGTGCTACACAGCTTCTTATTGCTTACAGGATGTTTTGCCTAGTGCAATGTACTTGGAAAAGTGCCTGGCGCTCGCAAAGGGGACAGAGAAAGACTTGATATATCACTCATCCGCTCGCTCTTGATGCACTGTTTGGCTCACAGTAGTACGGGATTCGCTTGGTTGCTTGTTCATTTGTTTGTCTTAAAATGGAATTCACTTCAGGTGCCACCGCCCCAGTTCTTCCAGAACTTTTCCCAAAGCTGCTCCCACTGGTGGTAGTGGTTCCGTCATTGTCACTGCTGATACTCGCGTTTCGTGCTGCCTCCTTGCGCAACTTTATATCCAGAATATTTTCCATCACTTTCAAATGCTTCTCCTGCAGCTCAATCATACGCTCGAAGGCATGACCGTGCAGCACACGCAAGTCCGTCATTACTGAAGTCAAGCCCGCCAGCGCCTCTCTACTAGAGACTCTAATGCCTGTTGATTTCTTCTCATACAGATTGGCAATCTGCTTGGATGTGACGTCAGCGAGCTTTTCAATCGCGCTGATGAGTGAGGCATCGTGGACAACCACAGCTGGTTTGAATGCATCTTCACTAGACCCGGACTCGTCGGGGGTCGTAAAATCGGCCTCCGTCTCCTTGGATTCATGGATAGATTTTGCTGGCGGGTTGCTACCGTGAGACTTACGGTATGGCGCAGCTCGCGTGCCGCCGCCAGTTGTGTTAGAGGAGGTATAAACATCGCGTAACGTACCCCAATACTCCTTGTAGCTCGCACTGCGTCGATCTAACACGTCTGTGTGGCGCATGTTGTAAGCATCTGCGTAGCGCATGTTGCTGGCGTGGTACTCGGCATTGAGAGACCGAAGCTTTTTTGCTACTCTCTCGCTGTTGTTGCCGCCTAGGTCACCTGTTTCTGTCTGTGCCAGTGTCTTCGCTGCGCGTATTTCGCCGCTCGTGTACGAGGCTGGTCCCTGTAATCGCCTTCGGGGCACTGGACTCAAGGCCCGACTCACATCGTCGTGCATGTGACGCCATCGTGCCGAGCTGTCTGCCTGCCGCTCCATCGCCATTGCATGCTTGTTAAATGCAAGCGTCCTCTGTGCATTGTGCGCAACGCCTGGCACAGTAAACAAATGCTTTTCGTACGGATGATTGGACGAATCTGCTGCGAGCTGTCTCGACGATCCAGGCCCTCCAGCCCGGAGCACGCGACGTCTCGAAGTCGGTGCTCCCATCGGCATCGTTGAAGCGGGGCGCTTACTGCTATTTTCCATCCTTGTGCCATCGTGGATGCTAGCGGCACCAGACGTAGCTGTTCCTGTTACGGCTTGTGGAGTCGCATTAGCTGACTTCTCAACAGCACTATCGCGAGCAGATTTTTGCAACCGCTCGTGCCCAGCTTCTTTGGCCTCTTCGACCACTTGCTGTTGTTGTTGTTGTTGCTGCTGATCTTGCTGCTGCCGCCGCTGCTGTAATACCTGTATGCCGCTGTGTTGAGCTGAAGGCTGTCGAACCTTCTCCTTCGTAGAAAGAGTTGGCGCAGGTGATGCCTGTGATAGTGTTGAGGGAGTCTGACTTGTTATTCTGCCCACAGATTTTGTTTGAACTTGAGTCTGAGACTGTGTTATGCTCTGAATGTGTCCATGTGCTTGCTGTTGTCTATGTTGTGTTTGCTGCTGCACGTGTTGCAATGTTACTTGCTGCTGCCCCTGTGGTGTCTGTCCTTGTTGCGACGACAGCTTGGTCTGCTGTAGACGTTCCTGCTGCTTCTGCAGACGGTGCGAATTAGTGCGTTCCTTATGCACGTCCCAAGCCCTTGTACGAAAGTTAGAATTCATGATCACAGGTTTCGGTTTCTTTCCACCATGGACAGCATAATGGACATGACAGATCTTGCATAGGACAAAACGTCCCTCATCGTCCACACTCAATACATCCGGATCAGAGAGAATACCAGGTGGCCACCAATTCGCCTTACGTTTCGGCATGATACAAAAGACTTTTCTCGGTACACAAGCTTGTGGTAAATTGTCTCGTTCGACTAGTCAATGAATGGATCAAGTGTCTTGTCTCTCTTCTCACTTTGTGTAGACTCACACGTACGTAATCAATTTCCTTGCAAGCTCTTTTTTTGTGTGTGTGTGTGTTTGTTTGTTTAATACAATATCACAAGAAAGTGAGTTTGCCTACTGAAACAAAACATTGTTAGTAAAAATCGATACAAAAAAACATGGATCAGCTGCGACCTGTGTAGTTCTTGACGACTTACTTCCTTACTTACTTGTGCTTGGGTCTGAGGATGCTACAATGAGGCTTCATTAGGTTTTTGTATTGTTTCTTGTGACCGCCTTGTTCGCTCTCTGTTCCGTTGTGTAAATGATGTCTCGCAGTAGATTTTATTAATATTCACAGTGAATTTCATACATACATCGATAAATAAGGTATAAACGAGTTGGTATGGTATCGCATCAATCAGGTATTCGATGTTACAGGTATACGATGAAACTGCTGGAGTCAGCTGCGAACGGCGGTCGGTCGCGGTGGTCGGTTGGTAAATATATGACAGTTTCTATGAACGAGTTTCACCCGAAGATGAAGCTACAAGCCCGTCTCCAAGAAAATAGATAGCCTCAGTCTCGCCTAGACTGAGGCTATTTTCCTTTCAAAACAACCAGATTCAACACTACACTCGTATCTCAGATTTCTGCTTCTTTCTGAACAGTTTCAATACACAGATACAGTATGATTGCGTCCATTTTTCCACGGGGTTTCCCGCTTTTTGTTGCATTGTTTGTTTCAGCAAAATCGCGCATTGTTACGGTTGCTACTTGTCATCACTTTTTAAGTTAGAGAGGGTTTTGTTATGATAATGACGAGATAATCCTTTCGGAATTGATAATATCGATCCTCACGTCGTTTCTTTCGAACTTAATGGATCTATAGTAACCCATGATTCAGGATCAATTCAGCGTCATATGTGGTTCATATGTTAGTAGCCAACAAGGAAAAAATTAGTTAGGACGCAATGGTGCTGTTGCTAACAAACTCTTGCCACTATTGACGACAAGTGGTTTTACTGTTGTTAATGTCAATACTAATGAAGAGAAGTTTCTGTTGGGTAGGAATACGCTTTTACTATATATGAAATGAGCATAAACAAATCTCAGACGCTCTCTTTTGTCACGATGATAGATTAGAGTTGTTTTTGTCTACAATTTGAATGAGGTTTGCCAAGTAAGTAGACTGCTTATTGACCACCAGTTTGGGTCAATAGTGTCCAATGCACAATAATGTATCCACAGCAACCTGTAACCGAACTACAGTCAAGCAAGATGAAACCGACTCGCAAGTCTTAGTGACCTTCAGCAGCATAACACTGAAGGATGACAGGGCGTTCACGTCGCTTGAGACTGAAATAGAGTAGTAGGACAACGATAGTGAAGAACAAGGAAGTGAAGGTTACTATGGTTTGTGATGGCAAAGTGGTGAAAGAAAGTTGACGTATCGGCTACAGGTCGGACCACCTCTTGGCTGTATTGTTGATTTCATTATAGAAGCAATACGAGGCATAGGGTTTCATTCATTCATGACGTTATAGGAAGTACAAAAGCAGGCCGATCAAAAGAAAGGTGAGTAATCATTATGACTGATTGATTATACCGAAACATGTGACCAAACGGATTACAAAGCCCGAATATTTAGTTTCAAAACTGTAGCCATATCGTTTTGCTGTGTGAAGAGAAAGTCCTGAGCCCTGTCAAGATCATACACTAAGATCAGACGAGAGAGTGTCGACAATGGTAACCAAACGTAATAAATATCGGCAGAACCAAGGTCACTCACTCGGTTACATGTTGAAAGGTTATGCTTGGTAAAGAAGTAAAGGAAAAGTCGTTGATGAAAGATAGCTACAATGCATTCATAAAGACCGCTCTACATGGCAACGCATTTAAATTTCCAACATGTTGTGCCTTCTTTGCCGCCGGTTCAATCTTCTAGTCACTTAAACTAGCAGTCGAGGTTCTGACTGGACAATAATGATCAATAGGTTCACGAGGAAGGATAAGTCACATTGTATACAGCGCTTTGAGCGCTTCTAAGCGTATGACGCTATATGGTTCACATCATATCGTATATAATCAATAGTTGTTCTATTGATCGACCACCTCATGACTTAATGACTTCAACGCAATCACTTCATATCCGGATACGGCTTGACCACCTCCTGACTTATCGTGTATTCTAGTAAATCTTATCGCTCAACGTTTTCTGTAATATATATACACACTTGGCTCCACCATATGTTTTAAAAAATGTCTGAAGCGTATTCATTTGATGGCAGCATTTGAGAAATACTCTCGAATTTTGGTCAAAAACGTTTGTACATTTGGCAAATTTTGTGAATATTAGCTCACAATTATAAAGAGGTAAAAGTAGGATAGGATTAAAATAATTGCTTGGTAAAGCTAATAAATATTACACCATGACTTCTTTTCTCCATTTAAGTACGAGACAAATGACTCTAAAATGTATGAGAATACAACACCTATTTACGTATAGGATAAACATTATTTATTACTAAAAATGTTACAAATAAGCACTATCAAACTAGGTTTTATCTGTCTACTGTTGCAAAATGTTAGATAACGAAAAGGCGACCTCTTGGTAAAACAGACTCAATACAAAATTGACACATATACACCTCATGTGCACTATATATATTTCCCATACTAAAACTACTATTAGTAGTAGTACATGTCATTGCAACAAGACCGACAACCTTCTTAGTTCATACGACCAATACAATTCGGAGCATTACAATCACACCGAATGGCTTCGTCTTCAATTGGAAATTTGTAATCATACGTCACCTCATCCCCCACCGCAATTCCACGCTTTGCAAAAATCACAATCTTCTTTTCACCACCTTCCACTGCGACAATACGTGCAAAAGCTTTGGGATCACAGGAATGGTTGATAAAACGTGCCAAATTCCCACAGCGCGTGGCGTCAATGATTGTCTTTTCATCCAGCCGAAACATGTAGCAACTACCGACCCCTTGTTCCTCGTAACGTCGCTCTCGCTCGTCTGCCACGGATTGACAAATCATTTGACCTTGATACTCGACAATCATTTGGCCTTCACTTACAGATTCTTTCAGAAAGAGACCGTAACCATGAATAGACGACTTGCGCACCAACATACGTTCATCAAATGGACGACGACGTAACTCCCGATACTGCATTGTAATCGGTAAATGCTCAATGTCCATAGCCACACCGCCAGTGCTAGTGCTTCCATTCCCTATACTCCTACCGTTTGCAGCCCCCGGTACAGGATCATTGCTCACTTCTTTGTTAAAAGCTTGTCGCCTCGGCATGGTTTTCACCTTTTTTGGTGTACCAAACAGGCGGTTGCCCTCAAATCCATCGGTTCGCGCACACCCGGAAGATCGCCGAGCACGCTGCTCAGCCCGTACTAATTGCTCCATCACCCTTTCGGCCGTCTGGAAAGCCTCAATAGACGGAAGCTCATATGCAAACTCGTAAGGCTGCCCTTCCTCTATGTCTTCCATCATTGACGAAACCATGTCGCCTGCAATTGCAGTAGCACTTTGCTTCAGTGTGTCGTAGCTTCGCTTCCCCAAAATAGAGCCCCAAGTCGCTGCCGCAGAACCAGCCAACGGGCTTTGACCCTGACGTTGCTGCTGCTGTCGAAGCTTCCTCACGATGAAACGGCGGCTGACCGCTGTAGTTGCAGCATAGGGAAGCTCTTCGATGTGACGGGCAATATCAGCTAGTCCAAAACCAAAAAAGTAGTCGCCACTTAGTGCAAAAGAAAGCCACGAACTACGCTTTAGAAACGGATTTCGCTCCGTTTCCTTCGGAGACATTTTGGTCAATGTATCGGGGACTAGCAGAGAATCCCCGCTGCTCTTCAGACAACGACACCACACGGCTACGCAATTCAATGAGTGCGTCTTCAGGTGTAGAAGCTAAAATTGGTCGCTCTTGGTCGTCTGAAGCCGTGATCTTGAACACTGCCCGTGGTCTCTGCCGCTCTTGATCGCATTCACAGCCTCCGGTTTCGTCACTGTCAACCTCGCCATTTTTCAGCTTCTTCTGCCGTTTGCTACGTCGCTCCTCTATCTCAGTGCTAGAAATCACACACTCGTACAGACAACGCACTCCTAAGTGGCGCGAACTCCAAAAGATACGCGAGCTTCGAAAGCCCAGCGGATAAATGGCCGTTCGTGTATGAAAGCTTTCGTTACCGACAAAAATGTGTCCAAGAGCATGAACAGTCAGCGCGCCCATACGGTAACACATCGGTCTTGGCACAATGCCACGCTTGAGTTCCGCACGCCTTTTCTTTTTCAAGTCCAACATTGAAACAAGTGGTGGGTCACTAAATAGGCTTCTTTGCGGTTCTGATCGAGGATCAATTACTGGTAGCACATGATCTGTCAGCTTCGGAAATGCCTCAAATCGTTCATCAGTTGACTTCGTCTTTTCTCGTTGAGCTTCCCATATCCCGTCTTCGCTTGTCTTCCCTTTGTTAGTTTCATCAGTCGATAACACTTTTGCACTGCAAACACTGACCGGTGTAGCAGGCGGTACATTCGACTCAGTGGTGTCTTTTCTCATTGAAGTCTTGAGTCCACCACCAACGGCATCTTCAAAGCTATTGCCCTCCTTGCTTTCCTCCTCTGCAGAATTCATTAGATCTCGATCATCTGTTTCATTCGTGTCCACTGTCACATGTGCTTCATCATTCGTACGAAATATCGCGTTGAGTGTGCTAGGATCTCTCTTCCCACGGGCAAATTGCAAATTAGCTTCAAGCTTTGACTCAGCACTTGGAGGTGCAGTAGCCATTGTCAACGACACTCCGTCAGTACCTTTAAGTTTTCGAGCCACAATATCTAAATGTGTTTCCAACGGGCAGCATGTTTCACCAGTAGGCAAAAACGCAACCCCAGCATCTACTGCACATGGAAAGTGGTAGTGCGCAGTGCAGCGCGCAACCAAGCAACCAACAGATGCGCCCATGAGCCCGCATGCATTACAGCGAATAAGCCGGCTGCGGTGTTTTGCCTTACTACACTTGTGTAACACACCCGACATGTCCTCGTATACCTCCATGGACCAAATCACACAGTTCACATGTACCCACGTATCGGGCTCAATGTAGATCAATCGTCCACACGCCGTGCAATCGCCAACCACAAAACACAGCGCGCAAGATCGACTATCTTGGAATGCTGTAGTCATTGAAGTCTCCCAGGACTCGCCATCGTTGTCGCCTCTAGCACTGATTACTGGCCAACCTCGCAGCGGTGGTGCAGTTGTCATGTGGACAACAATACTATGGCTTCCACGGGATTGGACTGCTGAAGAATCGTGAAGAGTGGTAGTAGTCACATTGACGTCAGCTGTAATTTGAGCTGATCCAGTCGAGTTTAACGATACACTACTTTTACTCGTTGAAAATGATTCCAGTTCTCCTGTCACTGCACCTGCTGCCGGCAGTGTAGCGCTGGTTGCAATATCGCTAGAACCAAATACTGTACGTCGTGACGATGATTCTTGCACAGGGTGTTTCTTAGTTTCGCAACGATCGTACTGCTCCTTAATCGTTGCAATTTCGTCTTCCAATTTTAATCTCGTTTTTGCTTTCTCGCCATCAGTACTCTCACCAGTCCGTAACAGCTTCAAGAGCGACTCGTCGAGCTTCTGATGCTTCTGGTGCTTCTCTATGCCAACACTGCTCTCCTCGTCACGTGATAATAAGTGAATGACAACCTCAGGAAGCGGACGCCATCCATAGAGAAGATGCACACAGGCCAACAAAGCAGCACAACTGGCAGCTTCGGAAGCGATGGTGCAAATGGCGCTTGCGTCCTTTCCTGTGTTTGAACTGACGGCTTGTTTGGAATAAAAGCCTTGAGTTTTTCGTTCACGACGCCGTGTTGCTGCACGTGGCCCACGCGCGTACCGCTTGAACCGCATATAGCGGTTGGCCTTGCGCAGTAGCCATTCCGGTAAGATGATTCCGCTATCGCGGAGTTCTTGCTGCTTCGGAAAACGGTACCAGTCACTTTGGAAGTTCAGGCTACGATACGTAAAGTTACGAAGACATTCTTCGCCCAAACGCAGCACGTACAGGTAGACGGGCGTGTGGTCAGCTAAACGTTTCCAGCGTTCTATCTGTTCCAACTGCATTTGAGTCTCTTTCCAACTTGAATCACATTGTACGCGTCTACGCTGAATTTCAGCAACAAGTATTTGACAACGCCAACCTTCGCTGTCAGACATCTTGCCGGTAAGATGCTTGCGTTCCTGCGGGCGACATGCTGCACATATATACACGGCATTCGGATCGCTTACCAGAGCTTGATAACGCGTTGGCTCCGCCTTTAACAGTGCATCGCATGGTGGATGCACCCAACGTTCGCAAGCATCGCATTGCATAAGCTCCTCAAGATCGGCGTCCCATTTGCGTTGGCATAATGGACACTTTTCAGCGTCTTTCTTCTTTTTACGCGCTGCTGCAGTCCATACTTCAGTCAGTAATTTGGTTCGATCCTTAAGTGCTTGTGCTTCGCGCTCGATGCGGTTGTGGCAACGCAAGCATTTGCTCCTCTCGTGACTGTACGTACGTTCCATAGTCGCGATGCTGTCCTTCTTCGTTTCCTCCGAGTCCAGATACTCGTTGTTATCACCTTTCGTGATCTTGCAGTTTGAGCAGGCAACACAGCTGTAACAGTAAATACTTGGAGCTGTTATGCTCCCGTCACGCTTCTCGGAAGCCAGCGGTAAGCTGATAGGCGGTACAAGGCAAGAGCCATGATATCCGCGATCACAATGTGCACATAGCACTAATGGTTCTCCCGTGGACTGCTCATGCATCATGTCCGTTTCCGCTCCAGCCATATCCGCAATAGGAACGGGGCTGTCCACGTTTCCAGCGGTAGCAACAACGCGAGCAATACTGCTGCTAGCTCCGCAAACGGGGCCAGGTTGACCGCATATCTCACACATCTTGCAGTTAGAACAGCGCCAATACACGCGCATTTGTTCATTATTTTTTAGACGAGTAACACTCATCCCGGGAACACAGAATACGTGAAATCCTTCGCCACAATCCACGCAAAACACAAAGTCGCTATGCAGTCCCGTGCTGCCGCACACTGCGCAAACATCCAACCAACTGTGTATATGAGCTGAAGTGCGCGTTTGTACGATCTGAAAAAGCGGTATGCGCAAACTGGAGTTGCTCACACGAAGCTTCGTCGGAAAAACAAATGCTTCATTGGTGAATATGTGGTGATCAGCAAGTGTCGTGCCAACGGCTGACACTGAGCTATTTGCTGATGCTGGAAGGGCAACGCCACTAGCATCCTCGCCTTGTTGTTTTTTTCTCGTGCAATCAGGCAAGTTGTTGTATGTATCGCTGCCAGTAACAGGTACCACTTCCAACGCTAATCTGCTAACCGACCCATTCAAAGTAGCAATGTTTTCTTGAGTTCCAGTTCCATGGCTCCAGGCGTCAGATCCCGCATCGGAGACATTATCATCGTCCTCATCGTCGTCAAGTTCGTCATCATCCTCATTATCGACACCGTCTCCACCGTTCCCGACTGGATCACCATTTGACTGGGTTTTGCCCGCAAGTGCTGAATTGTTAGGCAATTGTCGCTTCGCCGCGATTAATAGGGCGTCATAATGGCGCCCCCCGCGCTGCTTTATTCGTGCCTTGGGTGCTGTTTGTCTAAAGATTCTTTGTCCTTGCCCGTAGAACCGCCAAGCTTCACGCCAAATCAGGTAGTCACGCCCCTTTGAATTGAAAGTCACCGCGTTCAGGCACATCAGCTCAAAATCATCCCGAAAACTGCGAAAATTAACATTTGTGTACTTCCCACCAAGGACCTTCTCCCGCATTGTACTCAAATCTATGGGCGATTTGATGATGTCGGAATACGAAGGTGCAATTGCCTCAGTCACAGGTTCTTTAAACAGGTCCAATTTGTCTTCGATTCCCAGGCGATACAAAATGTGCAGCATACGGACCTTGCGGCATGTAAAACACTCATAATTATGCAACATCTTCGGATCATACTCAGTCTTGAACCGAAGCGAATGAGCAAAGTCTTCTTCGACTTGTTTGGCAGTCTTAAAAACTCCAACGTCCCTACTTGCAAACAGCTTGGCACTGGATATCATTTTCTGCTCCTCTGGAGTGCTACAGCTTCCCACCAAATTTCTCAGACTTGCGATCGATTCAGTCTCACCGTCGCGTCTCGCTAGTAACGCAGCACCAGTATCCCTCGAACTAACACCAACTTTAGATAAACTCGAAGGATCGTTTGGCGTATCCGTAATGATATCTAGTGTAAAGCCACTGGTACTGTTAAATGCGTGGAAAGCTGGGTGTGGGTCTGGCTCGCAGTCAGCGTGGATCCAATGATGACATGTCGAGCATGTTAGCAAATCCACACTAGTTGTTAGTAACTCGTCGTCCAGGACAAGATTACAAACACCGCAAAATCGATTGGCTTTGTAATAAGGAATGCATCTAGTGCAAAGCGCAGCGGCCTGCAGCGGCAGCCGCCATTGTGACCATCGCTGATCGCAGTGTTCTCCAATCTTTTTCATCCCATTATAAAAACCAACCTGCTCAGTCAAACCAGAAATTACATGATCCTTCCGACGGTGACACCCTGAGCACACTGCGCAGTCGCTGCAAACAAATGGTATTTGCAGATCCTCCACGAGCACCTTCCCGTCCTCTGGTCTCACCAGCAAAATTGGAGCATGCGGCGGATCACAGCAGGTTGCGTGAAATCGTCGATCACACTTTGAGCACACCGTCAATTCCTCCTCCCCTTTTAGCTTGCGTACTGTATCGTATGTATCAATATCGTCCTGGTATTCGTCTGGACTTAATAAGCAGTAACTGCACGTATTTGTCGTGTGGTCACGTTTCCAGGTCTTCGTTGTTACATCTGCGTTATTGCGAAGCACGCCAGTTTCTCGCACTATGGCTTCTTCGAGTAGCTCTTTGGAACGAAATTCCCCTGGAATGTCTCCACCCACATCAGATCCACTCAACTCAAGCATAACCGCCAGTTCGCTGAATGCACTAGCATCTTCAAAATGGTACACAACACCACCAGGACATTGAAGCAGATCAACCATGACCTCAGAATGACCATCGTCCACAGCACCAATTTTACCATAAGGCAAGAGGAAATGTTTGTGTGAATTTTCGTCAAACTTTTTCACCACAAACGTTCCCGGTGTTAGTTCGCATGACCCCGCCAATGTAACCTCGATGGTTTTGCCCACCATTGCCTTGGCAATTTGGGTACAACGTTCACGAACATCTGCGTCTCCAACCTCCCGTTTATTACTTTTTACAAATTTACGTGGAGCTGGTGGCACTGAGGTTGCCAGAATTCGTCGGAAACCAGCTAGCAACGCCTGAAAGACGCGGTCCAAAAGCGTCTTTTCGGAATGTATCTCGTATTGAACCCTTTCCATTGATTGTGAAAACATGTCTTCCGCTTCCTCTGTCGTCGTTGCGTGATTCGACAAGGACGGCGGTACAAACCGCTTCATGCTTCGACATAGATATTTTGGGACCCAACAGGAGACGTGCTGCGTCACCTCTCTCTGCCTACCATTATTAGTAAATATACGAACGAACCAAAAATTTGCGTGAGCTCTAATTTCATCATCGTAAGTTGGCAATAGTAGCTTCCGCGCAAGGGCATTGAGGCGTAAAACTTGGGCAGGCCACCACCGATTTTGTAGCGCTGGCACTTTGACGTAAAGCATACTACGCGTTCCAATGATCATTGGAAAGGCGTAAAGCGGCAGCGTTGCCACAACACCATCGTCAAAGCGGACGGTATGGTGCATTGTAGGATGTGTAGAATGAAAAGCCATCACACGGCCCATCACCCACTGCTTATCCCACTGCAAAAACACACCCACACTTCTCCCGACAAGCTCGTACATTTTGCGCCGTTCTGCGCGAGAGTTTGGCGGATTTCCCAGGCAAGTTATAGTCTCCAATTCGGAAACTTTTGCAGATGTTGCACGCAAAAGTCGACCATAAACTTGCATCTCCGTCACCATTTGCTTCGAGAATCGAGGTCGTTTCCTTCTGCTGCGCTTCAGAGCACGGAGACAAGGTTTGCAAAACCATGGTCGGGCGGGGACAGCATTCGCATCGTCAGTCACCACGTCCGACATCTTAAATTCTCCTAAGCAGATATCGCAAATAATAAAAACCATTCTTTCTTCAGCGTTATCAACGTTCTTTGTAAAGAAGTTATCGCCTGGATCTGCAATGACTACAGTCGGGTTAGTAAAACTCCATCCACAAATGCTCTTCTTTCCGTCAAACCCACGTTGCAAACCGGCAGAAGATGTTACCATAGTGATTGGTTTTGGAATGGGTAGAGGGCGGCATGCACTGTCGTCGGCAGGTGTATTGCTCTGGATGTGATGACTCATAGGTTCAATCACGACTGAGTTACCATCAGTCACAGGCGGACCGCTAAGATTCATCTTCGGTTTCTTCAGGTTATCTCGCACGCCATTCTCTCCACCTACTCGACCCCGCTTTCTTCCAATTGTAGTCGGTAAGACAAATTTTGTTTCATCGTGGGAACTTACACTAGATACTGGCTGACGACGCTTGTATCCAACTTGCAAGTTGCGGCAAGCTTCACAGAGCATCACACCGTCCACGGTTCCGTTTCTGCGATGCAGCCGGTCTGCAACACTGCCATCCGCATGAAACCTGGCATCGCAACCCACGCACGTCTGTACGGAAGTTGGTGCAGTCGCACGGACATCACAGCATGCGTGACAGAACCACTTGCCTTCTCGATTCTTCAGCAATGGAGAACGAAATTCGAAAGGGCCGACCTCACGATCACAACCGTTACTAAACAAAGCCGTTACAACTGCCTCTTTCTCCGAGAAATATTTAGGTTGTGTTGGTGTCATCGTGTGCATGTTCACACGACGGCGTTTGGGCATGCTAGTTTGTGCCTTCAAGGGGCGATTTTTACCCTGATATTGTGCCTCATAGACGCACTTGCTAAACCAGTCGCTTTCTGACCCACTATGAAGTGGTGGGTGCAGACTGGCCATGCTGAATTTCTTGCTGCATCCATTACAACTCAGCATAGTCAGCAAGTTACGGGAGCTTCCATCGTGTGCCGCTGCATCCGACGTTGGACCTGCATTACCAGTGCACACAGGACAAAACCAATCACCCTCAGGGGCCTCTGCAAGAGGAGGACTCAATGCTGTCATATCAAATTCTGCATTGCAGCCATCACATATCAACACCGTCACCAGTTCATTCAAAGCAAATGCATTGGCGAAAGAAGCGCAATGTCCACAACACCATCCCATCTCCTGTTCGTCGTCCTGCAGTGCATTCTGTAATACCTTATCCAAACTCGTATCAGTTTCATGTGGATCGCAGAATTCCTGCACACAAAAGCGTCCCTCGCATACTTTGCACTCTTTCCACCATTCTACGTCATCATCGGTTTTACTGTCTCGGTCATTCACCAACATTGCAATTGTGCGCAACTCAATGGATCCATCCATCAATTGCTTCATCTGTTTGCTATTCTCCATTAGACATGGAGCACACCAATTTAATGTGACTGTCGACAATGTCCGGCGCCTCTTCCTGCCTGGTTTACGATACGCCTTCCGCTTCTTCACTGCTTCTCCATGTTTTAATTCATAGCGCTCTACACATCGTCGATGCAGTCGAGGATCATGACACTTTAGACAATTAATCCTTTCCTCTGTCCCGATTAACACCTGTCTGCACGTCGTACACACCTCCACCGCAGTTGTAAACACTCTCCAGCTGTGTTCATCACTCAATCCCATCACTTCATCGTCACTTTTATCCTTATTCATTGACATTCCACTTGTTATCGTCAAGTTTTCTACTTTCTCAGCATTCCTGGGCCTTCTAATGTATGGGAAGGCCAGTGTTGGCACCAACAGCGGCAACGTCTCTTGATCCGCAGTCTTTAACCCTCTTTTACGACGCGTTTTCATCTTAAAACGGCAATTTACGCACGTAAAACGCGCTCCAAGCGCTACTTCTTCAACTTCCTGGACATCTCGTAGCTTTATCAGACACGGTGTGTGATAAATACCGTCACACACACAGCATCGAGATGTCAGTGTACTTTCCATCGTCATTTTTGTATGTTTGGCGTGCGTTTCCGTCAAAAAAACGTCCTGAAAACCGAGAGAAGACGCATTTTCCAAGTCTTTCCAGAGGTCCGCCTTGCCTCCAATGCGGACGCTTTGGTAAGCGGTACGAGAAAGTTCCTCCGCGGTAGCTTCATCCACAACTTGCTCACATTCTAGACACGTAAAATGCATTCTCTATCAAGCCTCCAAGCCACCTGGAACACGCACAATTGTACGTGGTAGACACCGCTTCCTGCCGTTGCTTTTCGCGCTTGGAGCAAAGGAACTGGTCGAGGAAAGTGAGAGAGCGGCATGCGTGGATTGGTAGAAATACCGTGGAATCATTTTGTAGAGGACATCATTTTTGCAGGTGACCCAAAAAAATCTGATAATGAATTGATTTCCAATGGGTCAAAAAAGCCACGAAAAAAATTAGAGCATTCAAATAAAAGCACAATTGCCTAAAATAGAGCAATCTTCTGTACCCACTTGTTTTTGATCAAGGATTGGTTAGTAATACAGGCTTTTTTATCATCCAATGAAATGAATGATCTTATCAACTTGGTTGTATGTCTTTTCATCCAATAATATGAATTCTAACATCCAATGATTACACCACAATAATTCAATCATTCAAATACGGTCGAGAGAGATCGAGACTCGTAGACGATGCCACATCCTCGCTTCCCTAAGATTGAGATTCAGGAACTACGTGATGATTTTATTCGTTTTGAATTGTCCGAGACAGATGCTAGTGTCGCAAATGCTATTCGTCGTGTGATGATTGCTGAAGTACCGACACTAGCAATTGATCTCGTAAGTATTGAGATCAATACTTCGGTCATGACGGATGAATTTCTAGCGCATCGATTGGGTATGATTCCTCTTAATTTTGATGGTGGATTAGAGAATTTTAGCCAGCGTTTTGTCTACTCTCAGGACTGTGATTGTGATGAGAATTGTCCCAATTGCAGTGTCGAGTTTTCACTTGACGTGACGGCAGATAGTGGTGTCATGTCGGTTACAAGCGAAGCACTGAAATCTTCGGATCCATACATTCGGCCAGTTAATTTTTCGTCAGAGGAGGAACTTAACAATACACAGGATAGTGGTGTTATTATTGCGAAACTTGGACCCGGCCAGAGACTACGTCTCTCTGCTATTGCCAAATTAGGAATTGGCAAGGAACATGCCAAATGGTCCCCCGTTGCTGTAGCAACGTACATGTACGACCCAATTATTACATTGAATTCAACTGTACTTAGTACATACACGCCTGAGCAAAAGGCAGAGATGTATAAATGCTGCCCGACGGAAGTGTTTGAGACAGACGAAAACTACGAACAGGTGAAGAAGAGCATGGACAGAAGAGTGGTAGAGAACAAGCTATGTCTAGTTGCTCATGAACGTTGTTCACTGCTTGTGTTTTTTACGTGATATAGTTTACAGTAGGAGATGCCATGCGATGCATGTACTGCGAAGAGTGCGTGAAGCTGGCGGACTCGTTCAAGGACAATCCAGAAGACGATTCTGCTGTGACGATACGAATGCGGGAAGACAAGTTTATTTTTTCGGTTGAGGTGCGTTAGGAATGGTCATATCTGTACTCAGGTTGTCGCGCGACGGCGAAGAGCAAGCCTGTTTTCATGTTGACTTTTGCTTGGCTTTGATTTGATGGACATAGACAACGGGACAGCTGAAGCCCGAAGAGGTAGTGATTTGTGCGCTGGATTTGATTCGTGAGAAGCTATCATCGCTGAAGCATCAGTGCTTGGAGCTTAGTCAGGACGACCAAGCCTCGTCCGCGCCCATCACGCCTTTTGGGTAAGGGAATAGCGACGAGGTGTGTATCTAGCACAAAGATGCGTCACGTGAATTGCAGCTGGTCAGCGCGAGACAGAATTCGTGATCGTTGCCAGCTCATTATCACCGAGAGCACACTATTCCATGAGTTTGATGTGCACTGGCGCACAGCTATTTATAGCAGGTGCCGATAGATTTATGCTGCTAGTATTGCTTTTTATTCAACTGCTGATATGCAAAGTACATTGGCTTCATGAATAGTGAGGCAAGATCTCAATACTTCTACCTAATGTCTGCGAGTTATCCAGTATCGCTGACGCGATTTCGACATCCTGGCTTGAGCCGGCTTCTTGATTTTCGTACAGCGTTCCAAGTCGTGGCGACTTGTAGACTTGCAAAAGATTTCCGAGCAAATCGGTCGAATGGATATTACTTTTAGTAACACCTTGACAGGTACACAAGAATGCTACATTCTCATGAAGCATACTCACTCCGCGTTTAAATCCAACACTACCATCAGGGTACAGTGTGTGACACCCAGCTCCCTCACTAGTATTCCCAATCGTCGAAAAGGATCCATTAAACTCCATCGGATGTGGGTATTTGATTTTTAAATACTTGGCAAGGCAGTACAGTAGATGAATCACCTTTCCCAACGCCGCAGCAACTACTACAGGCGGCACATTCTCATACTTGCCAGATTTTGGCAATGGCAGTCCGAGAATCGTCCGAAAGAACACAGGAACAGCCATGCTTGCACGTTTTTGGCGCGGTTCTGCCAAAATACCTTCCCGTTCATCAGGAAGGTTACTCAACAAATCTTCATCATCATCTTTATCCTCCTCCTTCTTCTTCCTCTCATTTTTTTCTTCTTCTGGATTCAATCTGAATAACGTAAACAGCTCACGAAGTCGATCACCCCTTACTTTTGCAGCATTCTAAATCCAGCAACAATCAAATAACAATGTCAGACTTTACTAATTCGTTCCAATCTTCTCTAGTACAGACCTCGTCTGCCCATTGAATCTGGTAATCGAGACACTCAAGTACTGGAGCATAGAAACTCTCAGCTTGTTCTTTGTCCTGCTCAAGTTTTTGTTGAGCTTGTCCAATGAGTAACGTTCGTTCTTCGAGTTTTGATGATCGCTCGACAATTTTAATTCTCTCAGAACAAAGCTGCTCTCGTGTCTTCATAATCTTTTCTGCCAATTGTTCCACTTGTCTCATACACTTATCCATTCGAATTTCAGTGTTTACGTAAGCATTCTTTGTCTACAATCATAAACCGAACGAAACAAAAGACGTTAAGAAACAAACGAGAGACAATCAAATCCATGATATTTGTAGTTTTATTTCTTCACGCACGCTCAGTGCAAACTCAGTCTTTTTACGTAGCACCGCCACATCTGCCTGCAATGCCGCTAGCATCGTCCGACGTTGTTGTAACATTGCAGATGTACAAATTGCACAGAAGAAGGCATTACGGTGTCGATGACATAGGGCACATTCGCTTTTATCCATTTTAGGATGGATTATTTATAAGCTGTTTTGAAATTATTGAGTGTTTGGACAGATGATCATAAAATAGGCGTTTATTTTAGAAATTGGAGCACATATTAAGAAATTTAGAATGACTGGTGCATAACATGGACAGACTCATTTTGGCGAATCTATGCGATTTCAAAAAGTAGTGATTGGTGTTTTATCAGGACCCTAAATCGTAAAGTAACGTTTTGGTCAAATGTACAAGTGGAAAAGTTGTTTACCGTGTAACCTTTGGGCCGACATAATCAACGCCAGCATACATTTGGAACATACTACCCTGATCATGTTGATCTATCTACCAACCATACTGTGCGCTACTCCATCCCAATGTATCAATCCGTGCCCAGCGGTCTACCAGTACCCCAAGCGTAGCCGCCTCTCTGAGACATTGCGCCTCCTCCTGTCGCTCCTCGCGCACCAATGATCGGGACTGTACCGCCAGCAACTTGTGGGGACGGGAAGAGATTTGTGCTACGCAGAAACAAAGACAATCACGGTTGTATTTGTTAGAATAGAAGCAATGTACATTCGTTCCAGCAAACAAAGAAATCACGTACAATAGGGCAGGGGTCTGCACCAGATTCCAGCCTTTAGTCGCCGGCAATACTTCCAACAGGAAATAGTACAAGTGACCAGCAATAACTCCAAAAATGTCCATCATCGGGCTACCACCGATGAGCACCGTGAAGGCAATTAGTGCCCATGGTAGGTACAAACCTTCAAAACGAAAACCTGTGCGTAACAATTCTCCAAAGCGTCAGTGGCTTCTTGTACTGCAAAAATATGCGTTAAGGACAAGTAAACTCTGTAACGTACCCCAAATGGCAACGGGTGCTGTCGGATTCCGTCGACTCCAGACATATACAATCATAAAGATAAGCGACGTGCCAAGGAATGGAAGGTCCATGAAAAACGCCACCACCTGCAAATACATCGCAATGTCACCTATCAGTACATTCATCATCCACATGAACACCGTAAAGCATACGCACCCATAGCACAGCAGCTCCAAAAAACAGCATAAAAGCATAGTCAGCCGTGGGCCCACCACCTCCTGGAAATGGGTCTTCTTCCAGTCGAGACGAGTAGTTGGTTCTGTTGTATATGAGTATTCAAACACTTGGTGTTAGTCTATAGAAGAGCCAGGTATATACACAAAAGAGAGAGAGAGACACACACACACACATAATCCTACATACAAGATCATAAGCTGCATCAGAAAGGGAAAACTAAAATTTCCAAGAAAGATAAAACACGTGGTGAGACGCCAGAGTTGAAAGCGTTGCCAGACAAGGTCAAAGTCGAGATAAAGTGATTGCGGGTTTAAGAAACCCAGTGTATTCAATAGCGTCGAGCCAAAGCATAGCGATAGGTAAAACCGTGTAACGTATGGTAGTCCATAATACCAAGTCTCAATGCTACTACTACCTGCCATTAGTTTTATTTCTTTATAGAGGAAGAAAAAGGATGTTTTGTGTTGAAATGATTGTGTTAAATGAAAGAAAAGAAAAACTGGTAAATGGTAAGTTAAATAAAACACGGATGGTAAGTAAAATAACACCATTAAAACTCGGAAAAAGACATTCACTCTCACTCAGGTCGCAGCAAGGAGCAAGCAACAAGGTCAAGCAAGAGACAGAGAGAGCGAGAGGTGGAGACAGGAAGATGCTTGAGCATGCAGTAGCGTTGTTATTACAGCGACTACTGGGCAAGTTTGTAACTTTTAACTCGAATATGCTTAAGCTAAGTCTATGGCAAGGTGATGTATCATTTCAGGATCTTGAGCTGCGATTATCATACGGTGAGGGCGTGATTGATCATTTAAGCGTCAAGATTCCATGGCGTTCATTATGGACATTACCAGTAGAGATCAAGGTACAAGGTATTCGTGTATTACTTCATCAGACGTCAAAGAAGAATGAGATGGAGTTATACAAAGTAGAAGCGACGATGGATACGAGTATTGACGACAGCAATGGAGACGGTAGGAGAGGGTCTTTGTGTCTGTATGATTGGAACATTAGTGAGTACTAAACTAGGGACTTTATTATATTATATGGACGCTAGATCGAACCTATCTATCAAGATTAGTCTCTCATATTATTGGCAATGTAAAGATTGAATTATCAGACGTACAGGTTCGATATGACTGTGATCCGTGTTCTTTAGCCCAGGTACGACGTTGTATGGTGGTGGAATGAAAGAGAGAAACGACATTGTCAGTTGGTAACTTGTTATTGATTGCTATTGCTAGCAACCAGGAAGTGGCACGTTGGAGATTGACTACATCAGTTTGATTAACACTAATGCAGACTGGGACTTGGAGTTTACACCACAGTCAAATGCGGCAATGGAGTCGAGAAAAGTGCGAGAGAGATTGAATGGTAATTGAAAAAACAAGTCGAGTGGTTGCTGACTGATGCGATGCGGGTGTTTTTTGCTGCTTGGTGTAATGTGTAGCTGATGAAAACAGAAGGTATTGCAGCGTACATCGAATATTCAGACAAGCGAAGGAGTAAAAGCTTGGAATCTGAACTTAAGATACATCGAAAATATTTATTTCATGAGTGGTGCAGCACTGTAAAGGTACTGCAAGTGCATTCTTGCAGACTCAGGTTTTTGGCAAAGTTGCTGATGGCGTGATGTTCGTGTCGTAGGCAAGTCTGTATTACCACAGCGTTAATGCAGCGTTTCCAGATGTAGAGTTGGATGTAGATGTTGGGTTTAAGCCTGGAAGCATTGCAGAAAAATGCGCGATTTGTGCTGCACACAACACGAGTAGGAAGAAAAAAGTCGTACTACCAGTGAACCAGCCTAGAGTGCATTTTGGATCGGAACATATTGACGTGTTGTATGCCATCTTGATTGAAGTGAGGGCGCCTTATGACGAATACGATCGCTTAGCTTCATTGACACAGCAACAGGCATCACGACCGGACGGCTTTTTGATGGTACTTTCATACGCGAAGCAGTGGCTGCTGACCGATTGTTTGGATGCAGTGGTGGGAGAATCATTTACTTTAGCGGCGGAAGATGAAGGCGATGACGATGATGAATTTGAGGATGCTATTACTCCTCCGGGTCTTTCTGTGCAAGCAAGATTGCGCCATGGAGTCGAAATCTTGTTTTGTACTCGAAAACCCGCTTCAACAGGAGACGAAGCTGTCGGAGGGACACATTGGGTATGGGTGCTAGGGGAGACGATTGGAGTTGTCAAGCAGTCATGCGTAGAAGACGAGATTCAGCTGAGTGTTCAGTCACTGCTCATGTACGAGGTTGCTGGCAGCGAAAGCTGCAGCATAATTGATCACGCATGTACAAATGACGAAGATGCCAGTTTAACTGTGGTGGAGGCGCCTATTGTTCAGATATCTTGTATCATTCCTGCGTATCAGAGCCGTCTTGTCGGACACCAGCCTACCCTGGACGTTCGTATAGACAAAATCATGATATTTATTAAAGATGAGACGCTACTTATGTGGATGACTCTCTTTGCACCGGTGTATTTGTGGTGGAACCAGTGGACAATATCGCATCCGAGTAAATTGGTTGCATACAATGAAGCACAGATTGCTCCGATCGCACATGTAGGAATCAAGATGGAGCAAATTTGCTTTGTGTTTGCGCTTCATGATAAATTTTGCTTTGGCATCAATTTAACAGACCTATCAGTTGAAACGTCTGAGCCTAATTCTGAATTTGTGAGGAGCAATTTTCGGACAAGCATTCGTTTGTTCTCATTTAGCGAGAGCGTGGTGTCATTGCAAGCTCAAAAGAATATGAATGACGTGCAAGGCGTGCATGAAATTGTGGCTGCGACCAATCTCTCGCTTACGAAAACAAGTCGATCAAGAACGCATTGGTCGACGGAGAATTATTCTTGCAAGCACTGTGCTTTGCGTGATGGGGCACTTTGTTATGAGCAGCAAGAATATGACCCCGAAGAGGAAACTGCTATGTACAACTACGAATCTGCATTCTCTACGATGCGGATTGAGTGGACAGTAACCGAGCTTGACAATCTCTTTTGGGTACTGGGAAAGTGGAGTTTCTTTTTGCGGGAAAAAGCAGCTCATGGGCCAGATCGAGATCTGAATCCTGCTGTTGAACATGCAAATGTGAAGTTAAGTTGTCAAAAAAAGTGTTCTGTCCAGGCTTCTGAGATTCAAATATGTATAAGTGATGATCGTCCAGGCCAGGATTCCCAGGCGTCGTTTTTACTGTTCATCAAAGATGCGGAATGGATGTCACGCGTATGCACGACGACTTCTGCCCAAAGCATCAGCGCAGCATCAATTTCGCTCCAAGAAGGTGATAATATGATTTTTCGAGTCGCTGGAAATCCAGGTCTACGCACTTTTGCTTTGATTGCTACGTTGCGAACAGATCTAGCTTACTCATGCGAAGTCCGGGCAGCAGAAAAGAATGTGTCATCAGTCCTTCGGTTTAACCATCAAACTACTTGTACTGTTTTATCTTTAGAGCGCTTGTGTGGAGACTTATATCTTCCGGATGTACAAATATTTATGACGTGGTTGAAAGGGTTTCATGACAGATACTTGCTGGGTTTCATTCTATCGACTAGCTATGGGTACGAGCTTGATGAGTTCCGGCACAATTTGTCAATGCTGACATCTGAAGCTTTGTCGAAATTGGTGAAAGGTTCAAGGTGTTTACGTGACGAGGTTGTCATCAGTTTGTCGGTTGCCCACGGCTTGCAGCTTAATATTAGGCATCGGGATCAAACGCCAGGTGCCTCTCTCGACACTTCGTCGCCAGTCCAAACAATTGCTCGTCTGGAAGTTTCAAGTATGTCGCTGCAAGCTCGTCGGTCTGCTTCTGCCGTGAGTAGCAAGGAGTTTCAAATTAAGGGTAGCATGCGAAATTTGCAGCTGACTGACTTGACAAATCCAAGTGGAGTACTGGCATCTGTAGCAGCCCTACCGAATCGGCAATGTATTGGCTCGCCTGGAGATATGCTTGATGGAGTAGCTGGTGGAGGATCGTTTGGTGTGAAAAATGTCATCGACTTCGTGGCCGACGCTTCAGAAAGTTGTGATGGAAGGGTTGTGGTTCGCGTTCGGTTGGACTCAGTTTGCATTGTGTACCTGCACCGGGTATTCAAGCAGTTTTATCACTACATTTTTGACAATCTCTTTGATGCTCTTGGAAATCCACTGGATCACATTCCGAGCTATGAGAAGGCTAGCTGTGTATTTATAAGCTACATGGTGAACACTACAGCACTTCCTGTGTCATTAAAGGAGGTTTTACACATGTATGTCAATGCGGTGGTGAACGAGGTTGACGAGCGTGCTGGCGCAATGGGGATGGCTAGAGATCAAATGGAAAAAGTGTGCTTTGAAGTTGTCGGAAACGACTTGACATTTGCACTGCCACGGAATTCGTTTTCGAGAGATAGTATCATATGTCGCTCAACAAATGCTCGCTTCTGGAGCAGTGGAGTTGATCCTTCAACATCTTCCTTCTTGCAAAACGGCACCTTTGCCGACGAAGAAGCACGGTTATCACAAGGATCAGTACTCGCTGGTGCGTCTGCAGCGAAAGCACAGCTTATTCGTCGAACGGATCTGAGAAATTTGAGACGACAAATCAAGAACCAGCGGTCTCGCATCTTAAGCAACCGTAGCCAGTTGTTTATTGATTTACGGAGAGCCAATCAGCAAGCACAGAACTACCTGCATGAAGGCTTTCAGGCTTTTCCGGCAGCTGAAAATGCTGTGATGATTATCCATTACAAGATTGTTCAATTGGATCAGCAGTTGGAGCAACTCACGCAACATCTTCTCAAAGTAGACGATGCACTCGACGAAGCAAAAGCTGGAGAAGACGCGCTTCATAGTGGTGGCTGCGATAACCTACACTTCTGCGCAAGTGCATCGACGAATGGTTTGCAAGCACAATTAAACTTGATAGAGAAAATACGCCATGAAGTTGCTGGTATGTCTCAGCATCTCATGGCGCCATTGTTTGTGGCTGAAAATGCAGAATTTCATGACGCACGAGTTGCGTCAGATTTCACTGTAACATCACAAGGTCATAGAGACGGAGACATGTCAACGTCGTCGGTGGGACTTTTCGAATTTGAGCTGGTTGACCTAAGCGGAACAACACGGGACTTAGTGTCACCACTCTTTCACCATTCGCTTCTGACTGGTCGCATTGATTTGGAGCCGGAGAGCTTGTCCGAGGCAATATTGAGTTCATACTTTGGGCTCACTTTATCGATGAACGAACTCAGTATAGGAATTGGGCCAGAGCAATATACAACCCTCTTGGGAATGGTTTACGAAAATTTTCGGGAAGTCTCGCGCGTTGTCACGGAAGACACTTACACGTTGTGTGTCACTTGTAGAGGGTTCCACGATGACAGTAAGCACTGCAATGCTATATGGCTGAAGATTCTAGTGAAGGTTGCTGACGCTGCGCTTCGAATCTCTAGCAACGACCACGCCATTGCAGATTTGTTCTGGGAGCAGTTTGAGTTAGTGTTTACCTTGCGGACGGATGACTTGCTGGAGATCAGCGCAGCAGCACTTTCCTTCACAACAGTCGATGTGCGACCTACTCATTGTCAGGCGGCAGCAGAAGTTGTTCGTCCGCTTCCTGGAGACGGTTTTCAATTTGAGTTCAACCAGAAAATGAATTGGACAGATACGACTTACGATTTGAAAGTGAAAAACACCAATTTTCTTGGTGTTTATCCAGCGTTTCACGACATTGTGGCTTTTTTTGTGACTCCAATTTTCAAAGAAGGAGAATTTCTTGAATGTAGTGTTGGGTTTATGGCGCCTCCACCTCCTGATTGGCAAAAGGTGGACTTCTTTGTGACTACAACCGGGTGTCTCTTTTCATTATTGGAGGATACCGAAACAACTGATGCGCGGGCGCTGATCATGTTGACTGATATTATAGCTGCGTACTCAACGCACCAGAAATGTGAGGGTGTGGCGGACATGACCAAGTGTCATTTGGATTTTGATCAACATGGTGTGTATTTCTCGCAGCTTCCTAATCTTCAGGTACACAGTCGTTGTTGTTGCGTGTACTTTTAGGAAGATTGCCGCTTGGTACTGTACTAACGTTGCTTTTGTGTGTGTTTGTGTAGATTGATGCGTCATTCCCCCTGTCAAACCCATTTCTTGTGGTTGTTGACCACTTTGTGGAAGGTTCAATAACCATGTCACGGCGAAACTCGTTCGTGCTGGCTCCAGTCGAAGCGCGATTTTCTGTGCAAGACGCAAATTTATTTATTAACATTGCCAACAACTATCTACAGTGGGTCCCATCTCCCAGTCGTTCGGGTCCGACAAGAGCCATGTCAATTGAAGCGCAAACTAGATCTAATGGCACCTTCAATTCTCAGGATTCTTCGGCGGCACCACCAACGACTTTTGTTGCTGACAAGCTTCTTGGTGATGTTGGCGAGCTACGTCTGGTGCTCGTGAACAACAGTTTAGGTATTCCTATTGCCGATTTTCATATGCGGGAAATTGTATGCGAGTATATTCAAGATGAAGACTACTCAACAACTATAGGTGCCACGCTACTTTTCAACTACTTCAACAACAGCATATATCAATGGGAGCCTCTTGTGGAACCATTTGTTGTCCAGATGCGCATTTATCGTGCGCTGAAAGATAACAGCCTTGTGGAAGTATTTGCAAACCTGCCTAATACTGTCAACTTTAACATGACACCTGCGATGGCCCCTTTACTTTCTTCAGAAGCATTGACTCGAGCAGATTTTGTCACGTCTGGGTCAAAGTCAACAGCACCGTTTTGGGTAGAAAACAAAACAGGTTTAGAGCTAAAGTTTAGTTTTCGGCGTGGGACAGGAACTATCATTCAACAAGTCGTAGCAGAAAATGGAAAAGTATCCGTCGACTGTCGAGAGCAAGGAGACATGCTAAGTTTTGACAGCGCCTCAGCTGATCGATTCCTGCGGGAAACTGACCGCCAAGCGCTAACTGTAAATCACACACTATCTGTTTGGCTGAACGGTAACAAGTGGGTAAGTGTGAACCCTGTCGTAGTTGATATGGTTGGACATGTAGCCGTTCCACTTCGTGAATCACTGGTGCCAGTAGCTAGTGATGCTGTAGATGACCATGAGACCGGTGGTGATGAGGAAATCAGTCCGCCTACTTTGGTGGCGGAGATCAGTATTCAAGCCGATGGCAGCAAGCTTATTTGCCTGCATTCCCAGGTGGTGCTCCAAAACCGCACTTCTGTTCCGTTAATGGTGTGGGCATTTTCACCTCGTGAAGGTGGTTGCATTCAAGAGTGGATTATTGATCGTGAGCAAGTTTGCCATATCCCTCTTCAACTTGTACACCCACAAAGTAAACTTAGTATTCGACCTTCACCGTATGTCCAATATGCGCCTCTAACAACGAGCTTGGAAGAGCTGGGGGATGAAGTAAGGACAGCGAAAGCCGTCAACACCAAGCGCTTTGTGTGCGCTGGTAGCTGCGTATGCAATTTTGAAACGTTTGCTACGACGGAGGAATTACAAAACGCCGCTAAGTCGCTGAAGACGGTGTCATCTTCTTCGTTGTCTTCGGCCATTCCGCTGTCAGGTTATATTGTTCGGGATTTGCCTACTTGGAAGTGCACGTATGATGTGGAAGCTTACTATTTGATGCGTGCAACCTTTTCAAGTACTGATGAATCTCCACTTGCGGAGGAACAGGTAAGCAAATTACCACAAGTTGAGGAGGAAGAAGGCAAAAAAGTGGAAGAGGACTTTCTTCACGTGTTTAGCGAGCCAGTTAAGCGCCAGCGCACGAAGCCATTGCGAGACGTAAACCACGACTTGGATGAAGCAAGAACCGTGGGTCAGCGGCGAGGGCTGTACGAAGCGACCAATTCCAGTCTCTATTACCTCTCTGTGTCTCCATTTCTTACACTACACAATCGCTTGGCAACAGCGATGGCGTATCGCCTGCTTAATGGTTCTCTTCAGCTCATTGCCGAAGGTATCTTAGCAGTAGGAAATGTGCTTCCCTTATTTCAAGTCGATATATTAGAGCCGCTGTACGTATCATTTCGTCTGGAGAACTACAACTGGAGCGCTCCAAAACTGATCATTAACCCGAAGACGTATACCTATTCGGTACCTTACAAAGAAATAATTGAACCGATGGAATTGCTTGGTCACGCTTTTGATCGTGATATTGCCGGAGAGCAGGGAAGTGTGCCGAATCTGCAGCTCCAAGTGAAGCTATCAGGGCGTGATGTTATCGTGTTCTGTTCGATTTGGATCGTCAACCATACCGATCTTGACCTTGAGTATTGCAATTCAACAAGCTCATCGTGCAAACGGCTTGAGAATGTACGCAAGTATGTACACCGACGTTCAGCTTCGGTAGAAGAGGAGAGTGAAAACTTTTCAACCAATTCAATGTCTTTTCGTAGAGAAGGTACCAGGGAGACTCAATTGACGTGTTTGCAAAAGGTGAGGCCTTCTGCTAATCCAGTTGCTGTGGTTGTTGTTATTCGAGAAGCAAGGGATTTGTACAATGCGCAATTTTTCGGATCCCAGAGTCCGTACGTACGAGCATCTTTATACGTTCTCAAGAACCCAGCAGACAAGTACTTAGAGAAGCCAGAGATGGTTGCAATTTGCTCTGCCTCTACCAAGCCAAGTCCGTCTGGTGGGTTAACTCCTCAATGGAACGGTCGCCTTCAGAATACTTTGCTGTTACGCTTTCCGCCTGAATTAAGGACATTAGAGTTGGCGCGTATTATCGTCGAGGTACGCAATGTACACTATGGACTGGACTCTTGCCTTGGAGTTACCGCTGTCAAAGTGGACAGTATTTTGAAAGATCGTAAGCGAGCTGCAGCGTTCAATTGGTATAAGCTGCTAAAACGGAAGTCATCACGTGAGCAAAGAGCATCTAAGAACAATCTTGAAAGCATACATCGAGGAGATATTAGCATCTCATTTTCTGTTGGCACATCTCAAGAATTACCTACAGACATGGACACAGCGCAGAGTGTTGAGGTACTTGCTGACGACGAAAGTGAACCGTCCATTTATGACGAGGAAACAATACTTACTAGTTTGGAAAGGCAAGAAAACGAAGACATTCATCCCAATGATGTAGAAGTTTCTTTGGTATTAGAGCAGCAGCAAACGCCAGGTGCACTTCCATCTACAAGGGTAGCTAGGTCGTTGCAACGCCTTCAGACGCCGTCTAATCATGACATTGGACTAATTGGAGCCCCAGCCTCTATGCGCGGGCGGCAAGTGTATTCATTTGCAGGTGAATTCGAGACCACGTGCTCGCAGGAGTTTGTATCATACGATCCAACATCAACACGAGCGATGGGGGCTATGGTGCTGACCGGGTCACCAGCAAAACCAGCTTATAAGGGAAAACCTCACGGGGTTCAGGTATATTTACCGCACAACCGCTTTGCCAGTATCGTAGTTGAAGTGTATGCAAGCTTACTCATGTCGGAAGTCTTCAGCCTCGTTTGCATGAAGTGCGGCTTTGTGGGAGTCTTAGACATCAATGACTTTGATTTCTACGAGCTAGTGCTTCCTCGATTTGTGTCACTTCGAAGTGCAGGGCGACCGGAAGGCGAACGGTGGTATGGGCAGCCTATTGCGATGAGTTCACGGGTTGAGAATCGAGGTCGTCGTCATGGGCTTCATTTATGTCACAAAATAACGATGACAACGATCCGTTTGTACGATGAAGCGAGCACAGCGAGCTCTCACCACGTTACCCCACGCTCGCTTGTTACGAGTTCCAAACGTTCAAACCCTGCACAAATTCGTCCAACGCCTTGGGGTGATGTACTTCCTTACAGCTGTGGAGGTAAGCACTGGGAAGTTTTGCGAATTAAGTCGCGATCTTCGTCATGGTCTGACATTATTCGTCTTAACCGCAACGCCATGGGAAATTCCGGGGTTGCTCAAGTTATCAGTCTCGCTAATGAAGTCTATGATCAGGAGCAAGAAAGTGATCTTCGAAAAGGAAGCCAAGAATTAGCCTTGTGGAGTAATTATGGCAGTGGACGCTTTTCAGAGACAATCATTGCAACTATAGTTCCTCGTTACATCTTGATCAACAAAACAGGAGAAACTATTAAGTACCGGCAACTTGATGTGCCTCAAACCTTGCAATTGTCTGCCAACGAGCTTGTGCCATTCCACTGGCCCAGTGCATCAAGAGAGAAGCTGCTGGAAGTGACTTTACTGCACAAGTACAGCTGGAGCGGAGGTTTTCGTATTAACTCTCTTGGGACCACGTATTTGAAACTCCGTGACCGGGATAACCCCTCTCGCATTTACATTTTGCAATGTCAGATTGAGCTTGTAGGTGGTTCGATTGCGTTAGTTTTTCGAGAAGAGTCAAGGCGCTTCCCTCCATACAGAATCGACAACATGACATCCTTTCGAATACGCTACAAGCAGACAAACTGGGGCGAGGATAAGGATTTTGACGAGCTTCTGCCACGGTCTTCTTGCCCCTACTCATGGGATTATCTGCATGGCGCTGAGGGAAAGTCATCGTCGTTTAATCAGGATTCTGTCTTCCCGGGCGGCTCAACCTCATCGACTCGTTCGCTTCAAGTGAGATTCATGCGAGTGACATCGTCATCCTCAAAAACTAATGGAGACTCTGATAAGGATGCTGTGGAAATTCGCGAGTACAATCTAGACGAAATGGCTACTCACAAGCGTATTCAGCTGCACCGCTCTTTACCGTCAGAGCTTTTCTTGAAACCGGAGCAAAAGGGATATTTGCTTAAGAAGGATAGCATGCTCAAGTGGAATCGGAAATACTTTCGGCTTTACGAGCATATACTCTATTACTTTGCCAACGAAACTGACCAGGAGCTTTTGGGAGTAGTGGACTTGCGAACAGGTTCTGATGTGCCGGGTGTCGGAGGAGTCGCCATTTTTGAGAAGGCTGCGGAAGCTCCGACAAAAAGTGGCTTTATCTCGTTAAACGGTCTGGTCTTGTCAATTTCAGGCAGTCTGTTTGGCGGAGATTCAAAGCAGCTGGGAAAAGAGGGAGGTGATGATGATGACGACGGCGATGATAGGTCAAGGAAGTTGGTTCGATTTGCAGTGTCCTTAACTACATCAAGTGTGCTATGTGAATCTTCGGAGAACTTTGTGAGCATGATGATTGAAGATGGGGCGGCTGCTGCTGCTGATGTAGCACAAAAGGGCTTTTACGTGAATGGACAAGACCTTGTGGATTACTTGGTAACAGAAATGAGCACCCAGACGAAGGCTGAAGCATTCACTGCAGCACAAGAAATGATGGAGCTTGGTGTACTGAAGCAAGTGCAAATATCAAGAGATGGAGGTGCGCGCCGACAGGCACCAATGAGAAGTTTTCAATGCTCCAAAACTGTGTGGTATCGTGTTAACTCGATCAATCTATCGGGCGCCTCAGACATGGACTCACAAGACAACTTGAGTAGAATAACACCGCAATGTAGTGAGCCATCAACAAAATGCGGTAGGTCTGATGCAAAACCCAATGTCGTTGGATCGAACCAGTTTTCGATTATTACGCCAACTAAGTGCTACGATCTAAAGGCAAAAAATTCTAAGATCGCTAAGACTTGGGTGAGGCGTCTTCGACTTGCCAGTCAAGGTGGTGAAACCAATAACATTGAGGAGTTTCAAAAGGATATGTCAATGCCTAAGACAACGCGTTCGCAACGGGATATTATTCCTCAGGTTCAAAACGCGAAAACGTATGTAAACGTTCGTATCCGTGCTGATGGTCCCACAAAGGTGCTGGAGCTATTTGAAGGTGGAGAGGAAGACTTTGATGAAAAGGAGATTATATACGATATATCAACTGCGGCATCAGCGTCATCTGATTCCCCTGTAGCTAGTGAAACTTCTACTAATGCGTTCGAGTCACTGACTTTTGGAATGGCACTTCATCTGCGTGTTGACGGAGTCGGCATTTCGTGTGTAAACGAACTTCCAATGGAGATAGTGTATATCTATTTTGGTGGAATTAGCCTCCACTATTCGCGTGTAAATTCAAACATGCGTATGAACATCACGTTAGACGACCTGCAGATCGATAATCAGAGTGAAGAAGCGACTTTCACAAAATTGCTCTGCCCCCGTTTAGATAAGAATACTGCAGTCGCATCCACACCTGTTCGAAAAAGAACCGGTGACATTGATAAAGATCTCGCAGAGATGGTCTGCCAGGGGAGAGGAATGGTTGATGAGACGGTCGATGCTGAAACCCAGGGAAACACGGGTCTGATCTCGAACCAGAATATCTTTAGTTGCGCTGATTGCAAGTATCGCCAGGCGAATGTTGCTGCAATGCATTTCTGCTGTGCATGGTCTAACGAACAGGGCAACACTGATTATTTTAAGCATTGCTCGTTCTGGTTGTATCCAGTCATTACCCAGTTGGACGAAGACCTCTTGGTGTCAGCTCGAGCATTTATGGCGATGGTATGATTTCGATTTGTAGACAAGCTGTAGACACGTGCTGAGGTCTGACTTATTTTTGTGTGACTTGTGGTGTGCAGATGTCTCAGTCGTGGGGACAGATGCGGTCACAAAATCGTAGCGGTGAGATTCGAATGAAGACTATTCCAATTGAAACGATGCTGGAATCTTTGACGGAATACAGGGAAAACACTCTTAGTGAAGAACTCAATCCACTAAAGAGTCTGGAGTCGTACACTACAATCTCGTCATCAGAGACGCGAAAGGTGTACTTTGCTTTATTGCACATCCACCCGATGGACTTTGATATTACATTTCGTAGTGATGTATTTCAGACAAACACGACTATCAACCTTCACGAAGCGGCTAGGTTTAAGAAGTCTAAGATAGGAGGCAGCCACGCCGACGAAACGAAGCGCTCGAACTTGGGTCTATCTTCATTTGGTGATGATGGCGCGGACAAGTCGTCATCAATCACTTGGGCGATTCCCAGTCTGACGATGCACGTGCCTGATCTTGATAACGCTCCAGTGCGCTTGAGCGCTTTAATGATTGAACATGCCTTTGGAACGAGTAGCGACCTGACTCGCCGAGTATCAAAGTATTACACCCGTCAGTTATGGAAGCAACTCCACAAGATTTTGGGATCATTCGATTTTTTAGGGAACCCTGTTGGATTCTTAGACCACATCGGTACGGGTGTGCGCGACTTTGTCTATGAACCCCTTGAAGGGTTGAAAATTGGTGGAAAGGGTTTCAGTAAAGGATTGGCTAAGGGCACGGCTAGTCTGATGTCAAACACGATGGATGGTACGTTTGACGCAGCAAGTAAGATTTCGGGAACCTTTGGGCAAGGATTCGCGAACTTGAGTCTGGATGATCATTATCAACAGAATCGCGCTCGTGCTCGTCGCCGCCACGTCCGTGGGCTACGCGAAGGGATTGCGCAAGGCTCACGAGAGCTTAGTCTTGGTGTTTACGAGGGTGTTGCTGGCCTCGTGCTGAACCCTATGCGAGGCGCGCATGAGAGCGGTGCTGTAGGCTTTGTGCGAGGGACAATCACCGGAATTATAGGGCTTCCTGTCAAGCCTGTAGCAGGTATCTTTGATTTTGCATCACGTGCTACTCAAGGCGTGCGTAACCGATCATTGCAAAACGGTCAGAATATGCAGCGTGTCCGTCGACCGCGTGTGTTTGGACGCTACAGCGAGCTTAAATGCTATAAGGAAGCTGATGCGATTGCCTATGAATTGCTTAAGAAGGTTGGAGGTGATCGGTTGTCTGGTGAGAAGGTCATTTTTTACAATGAAATCTTGCAGTCTGTGAGTGTTGCAGATCTTACACGTGAAGCTCGAGATCGACGGCGCAGTGGAAGCGTTGGAAATATCAAGTCGAAGAGTAACAATGATTCAACTTGCCAGCGCACGAAGTCCCTGCGGCGAGCCCTCCAGGAGAGTGATGAACGTCGTCGGGCTGCTGGCGAGTCTCCAAATGTAGGTACTGGTGAAAGTAGTGGACGCAAACTTCGGTATGAGGTAGTATTTTATAAGAAGAAGTTGGGGATGGATCTGGAGACGGACTTTTATTGCGAAAACGTAACAATCAAGGCGATGGATGAGACAGCTCGATCAAAAGTGAAGGTTTGTGGGCAAATAGCTCCTGGCCAAAAGGTGTTACAGGGAGGAGATTGTTTGATTGGTGTTGGCGGCGTGGATGTACGTGGTATTGGTTTCCATGACACGTTAGCGCTATTGCGTGGCACCGCTCGGCCCATCACAGTTCAATTTGAAAGTGCAGAGGAGCTGATGCAAGATACCACTACGGATAATGTAAATGAGAGAGAAATTGAGTTTGGACCGACAAGCAAGGCGCGACTCAACCGGCTGTCCTTTGTTGGCTCAGAATCTGGAAAAGATGCAGTGAACGAGTCAATTAATAAGCTTACTGTTCAGCTAACACATTGGCTAATCGTGACGGAACAGCGCGTGCTTTACATTAACGTAGGATCGTTCAGCAAACCCGTGGTAGAATGGATGACACCATTGCGGTATGTCTACCGTGTCGAGTGGCAAAAGAGTGCAGCACGAATATGTCTTCACCTTAGTGTCGGTGTGGACAGTTTACCAATGGGTCCACGTTTGTTGCCATCTCTTAAGACATATGATGGTCACGAGCGAGATATGAACGTGTTTTTGGATGTTATGTGGCATAGCTTTGGTTCTGCAACTGCTGAAGAGCAGGAACTCTGGCCTTCTGACACAAGTCTCAACGGTTATTTGCTTAAGAAAGGCGGGTTTTCAACGGTCCGTCGATGGTTTGTCTTGAGCCGCAATTGTCTCTACTACTTTTCAAACCGCAAGCAGCTACGTGGTATCATTCCTCTTGGTCACGTGCGACTTGAGACAGACACGGGTGATACACGTTGTTTACGTATTACAAATGCTACTCGTTCCCAGCCATTGGTAACACTGCAGTTAGACAGTGGTCAAGTCGTTGAACGTGTTCAAAGTGAAGTGGTGCTTGTTGCTGCCTCACCCCAAGAGCTTGAAATGTGGCAATCGTCTTTAGCCCATGCTGCTGGTAAAGGCATGCGACATTCTCGTGGTACTCGCTTTTTCATTCCAACTGCTGCTTCACGACTTGAAATTGGTACTCAAACAACTCCAGATTTTATCATCAAGCCACTTACTGAAGCTCTTAAGAAAACAGTCGAAGTCTTTAACACAACGTTATCCTAATGTCGAGTCAACCCTCAAACGACAATCGTACATATGGCTACAGTAGTAAAAATTGATATATGGCTACAGGATTATAATCACATGGCTACAGGACTATAATTATATAAAAAACTTGCTCAATTATAGAGTATGAATTACCACTCGTAATCCCTTCTTTTAACAAATAACTCGTCGCATTTTGTCCATCCAAGATGATATGCATACAGCAAATGACTATCTCGTCACACGTTTTCTGGATAATTGTAGTAGGTTTTCGTCTCTGGAACGGAATTTTCGTGCGTACATTCTTCAATCCGGATGAATATTGGCAAAGTACAGAAGTAGCACATCGTCTAGTCTTTGGTTATGGTTTCATGTACGTTTCTACTGTCGCAACATGATATGAATCGATCGATATCGCAATCTTCTGATATCGTTTGGTGCTATTTTATGTGATACTCGTAGGACATGGGAATGGCAAGATACGGCTCAGTTGCGTGGGTTTGCACACCCAGGTTTCTTTGCAGGGTTGTACAAACTACTACAAGTTTTCGTATGAGGATGAGCGAAACGCTTTTTATTTGTTTTAAGGTTCATTTTAGTGGCTTTTGGTTAATTTTATGCTTGATTGTTGATAAATATGTACTGTTTTGATAGAATCTTGACTCACGATGGGCAGTAGCATATGGGCCAAGATTACTACAGGTTGAGAGATTTTCACATCATGTTGAGGGGGAAAATGGAATGAAGAATTATACGTTGTAATTGATCGATTTGTGGTGTTTTTTTTGTTTGTGTTTTCTTGTACTAAGGGACTTTTATCAGCTGGCAATGATTACTACTTGCATCAATTGACACAAACTTATTTCGACGCTAGGACAGCCAAGTGGGCGTTACTATGTCAACTCTTTTCTTGGTTTATCTTTTACGTCATGGTGCGTCCATTTTCCAACTGCATGGAGACTTTGTGTACGACAGCGGCATTGACACATTGGCCATGGAAGTTCCTAGTACGTCCATGATCAAGTTGTGGGGAATCTGGATCATTGGAATATCATTGATACGAGTTTTCTTTTTTTCGTAAATGGTGACAGGAAAATCAAGCTGAAAAGAAGAAACACGATGATGTGTCTCCAGCTAAGCGCAGCAATCGCACAGTAGCGCTCGGATATGCAGCACTGGGTGTATTATTTCGTCCAACAAATGCCATTATTTGGCTATATCCTGGACTCGTGCATTTCTTCCAGACTCGTGATCGTGTCCATCTCGTGTTGAATGTGGTTCTACCGATTGCACTTGTTACTACGCTCGCAATGTTGTGCATCGATCGTCTTGGATATGGCGAATGGACTTTTGTGCCGTTTAATTTCTTCAAGTTTAACGTTCTAGAGGTATAAGGCACTGGATAAAGCTATATTGTGAGAGTTGATTTTGCTAACATATCTACTATGGTATTGGCCCTCTGCTCGTTGGTTTAGGGTAAAGACAGGCTGTATGGTGAACACCCCTGGAGCTGGTATTTCTTGCAGGGCTATCCGGCCATTATAGGCACAGCGTTGCCGCTTGTTATAGTCGGATATCTCACTGTACCGGCAAGTTGAATCCCATGATTTGGAAAGACCTATCTCAGTGCTAATGCTTTTTGTCCTGAACAATGTTCATCAGCTCTCGAAAAAAGATGTCGGGCGTACGATTTTGTGGGCGCTCTTTGTGTACAGCAATGCTTCCCACAAAGGCACTTCTGATAACTCTTTGTCTTTTCCAGCCAACATTATTCTAACTCGTTGTGTGTTGTTGTGTCTGTAGAGTTTCGATTCATGCTTCCTTTGCTTCCACCTGCGTTCATGTACGCTGGATACTGCTTGTGCAACCTTGAGAAAAAACTTTATGTTCAATTTCGTGACCAAACGCAGTGGAATCTGCTGCGACTCGCTGCGTTTTCAGTCGTTGTGCCGAATGTGCTCACTGCGTACTATTTGTCTCGAAGCCACCAGGTGCGTTATTCTTGATACTCGATGCAAGGTCATTTTGACTGACTTTACTTGCGTAGCGTGCTCCCGTAGAAGTGATGGACTATCTAGCGGACCGCATTCGAGGTAAGTGTAGTCTGGCCATTATGTTGTGTATGCCTCATACAAATCTGTTTCTTACACGTTCATTCATTTTGCAGAAAGCCAAGACGTGTCAATCCACTTTTGGACTCCTTGCCATGCAACACCATACTACAGCTATTTACACCAAAACATTTCAATGTGGTTCCCGGATTGTTCACCAGCGTAAGAATCGCCATAAGTCCAAGTGATGTGATTGAAAATAGGCTTAACAAGAACTTGTTGTGAATTTAGCAATCGTGAGCAATCCGAAGGTTGCGAGTCGCACCAGCTTGAACGCGACCCGGGGCTGTTCCTTACGAAACTCTACGACCTGCAGCCATCAGATGGTCTAACCAGCAGTGCTTCAACCTTGGAGCTCCCAACATACGTCGTGACGTACTCCACGATTGCTGCCAAAATCAGACCGCTTCTAGCTAACATTCACTTTGTCGAGGTGACGCTCGTTTTTTAATCTCTCATCACTGTATTTATCAAAGTCTGATTTGGTCGTATTTCTTATCTGCAGGCAGCATCATTCTTCCACAGTGACGTAAGTGGAGATGCAAATTCGTCGGAAGTCGTGTCGAGCATGTTGGTGTACAAGCGCGTCTAGTGCTCGAACGAACCAAATATTGCAAATAGATTGGATGCCAAGCTTTGTATCTTGAGCGATGGCATGACCAACGTTTAATACGCTGGCGACATAGCAGCGGTACCAGCATAGGAAAGTGACCAGCTTGAAGGACAAATCGGTTCGTGTCGTGAGTTGCCGGTTTGTTGATCTGATCTAGGGGAGATTGTTGCTGTTGCTGCTGGATGTGTTGACATCTTCGGTTTGTCGATGCGATGCGCCCGACGGATAAGAGGACGAGCTTGGATTTATTTAGGTGGATTAAACACAAGCTGGGACACGCAGGAAAATGGATGTAGTTTCGTAGCTGAACCTTGAGATCGAAGCAACCGCGCCTCGCTTCTTCCAGCCCAGTCCATAAACCAAATGAAAATGGTGCTTGTCATCGAAGAAGACTGAGCTGCGACCAGCCTAACGACGTCGTCGGTCATCGTTCGTATCACGGTCATAGCCTCCACGACCACGATCGCGGTCATCGTAGCGGCCGCATCCTCGGTCATCATAGCGACGTCGTTCTCTATCATCATGGCGACGCGAAAATCCACCGCGGTCGCGACTACGACTTCGTCGTCCTCTGTCTCGACTGCGATCTCTGTTATGACGATTACGTCCACCGTACTTTGCACTAGCAAGTTTCGGTCCAAGATCTGATCAATAATTGCAAGAACAACGTTTGCGTAGTTAGTAATTAGCAGTAAATGGATGAACCTCTCTCAATGTTCTCACATTGTCCAGGTGTTTTTTCATGTCCACGCTTTCGTTTCGCATGTTCGACCCTAATTTTACGACCTTGAACCTCTTGGCTGCATTTATCGGATGCACACGACACTCTTATAATTAATAACATGGCTTCCATTTATATAAAATTATAAAAAACAAAAAAAACTCTTTTCCAGCAACTCACTCATTTAATTCCTTGACTGCATCCTCAGCATCACGTACATCTTCATACGTGACAAACCCAAACCCTCTACATTAAAACCAATTAAAAACCCACATCAATAAAACCCACATCAAAAAACCCTTCCATTTCAACGAAAGAACCCCCACACACACATACAACTAACAAGATAAACTAAAGAAATAAAGTGACTCAATAATAACCCCTTCCATACCTGGATTCACGTGTCACGGGGTCTACAATCACTTGACACTTGTTCACACGTCCATACTTTTCAAAAAGCTCTTGTAATTCTGATTGACTTGTACGTGTGGCTAAATTTGCTACATACAAATTATTTCCTGGATTTGCCACATTTTTTTCAATCTCTTTCGAACTTGAACGAACAGGTGAACGACTAGTATGATGACCCTGTTCCTTGTCATCTTGTAGCTCACTATCTAGCTTTGAACTCATCTTATCTTCTTCACCTCTCTCTCCTCGAGATGAATGTGATGAATGACTACGACGTGATGGTAAGGGTGATGCTTCGTCCGACATCTTGATGTGATAGTATCTGGATGTGGAGCTATTGCGTTGAGAGCCAGAAAATCTTTTTAGATAGCACCGCTCGCTGGTTGCGAAGGGGCGAAACATAGCGAACCCAAGTATTTTTTTTCGAGTGGAGTACGAATGGATGACATGGTCGGTCGTATCATTCAAGCTCATACTTAACTCCAGTACTTTACACCGTTACGTTGACGTGACACTCCGTCTATCAACCCTTGTTTTATTGTGCAAAAAAACGTCCGTTTCACATCTCTTTTGATTTCTCGTCCAATTGAAAATATGTAGAAGACATTAAATACGGTCATGCTCCCTGACTGTTTTTTAAAATAGGTCACTCTTTCAGCATTGTTTGTTCCTGACCTTTTCTTTGTTACTCATAATTTAATGTCTTAATTTGTAACTCATGGCAAAGACAAGAGCAAAAGCCAAAAGCACTGGACGTGATGCATCACATCATTATCAAAGCAAGAAAATGTCAACGGAAGAGAAAACGAGAAAGAAAAAAATAAAGGTCAAAGGAAAAGCAAAACATGCACTGAAACTTGCGAAAAAACAAGAGAAAAAACAAATGGCTACGGACGTTTTAAGTTGTGACACCTTAAATGAGGTAAATGACGGTTTTATTGAGTTTACTTGCGACAAAAATAATGGTACGAATCCCTTAGATAAGGAAACAAACGCACCACCAGTCACGAATGCCACTCATGACGCTAGGAGACTGGAAACTCGACCATGGATGAACGATCGGAAGGGGTATTGTCATGATAAGAATGTATACGCGTGTCTTCATGAAGAAATAATGGATTTTGTGAATTTTATAAGTCCTACAAAGGAAGAACTGTGTAGTCGTGCAAAGCTGATTGAAGAGATGGAAGAGATTGTCAAAGGATTGTGGCCTGAAGCTACTGTTGCAACCTTTGGTTCACATTATACACAGATGTTTTTACCTCAAAGTGATATTGATATGGTTCTTTTTGGAGTGCCAGAAGGTAAAGAACCATTGTTTAAGCTTGCAGAGTGTCTGGAAGAAAAAGAATTAGTGACGTATCTTGAGGTGATTGACAAAGCTCGGATTCCAATTGTTAAAATAGTGCACAAGGCAAGTGAGATTCACGTGGATGTGTCATTTAATGTTGCTGGTGGACTGGCAACGGGTGACTTAGTCAAACATTATATGCGTGTGTACCCGGCATTCCGTCCACTGACACTCGTAATCAAGTATTTTATGGCACAACGAGGATTAAATGAGACGTATTCAGGTGGTGTAGGATCTTTCTTGTTGCAGATGATGGTAGTCAGCTTCTTGCAGCATCATGGACGTGCATTAGGTGCTCACCACGAAAACCCAAAGTATAACAATTTGGGACAATTGTTGGTCGGATTCTTTACGTTATATGGACGTGATTTTAACTACACTGAGCTTGGTATATCTGTGCGGAATGGCGGGTCATACTTTTATAAGGAGGACCGTTGTTGGTGTGATGCTGGAAGACCTTTCCTTATTGCCATGGAAAATCCGAACGAACCGAGCTTGGATATTGGCAAGAACTCGTATGAGATACGAACAGTCAAACGATCTTTTGATTATGCTCGCCAGGTACTTCAGAACGAAATCTACCGCCACGGTCACTTTCATGATATACCTGGTAGCATTTTGGGCACCATTATTCAAGCAGATAGCAACTTGGTAAAGAGAGACCCACCCGATAGTTTTGGGTACGATGTGTTACACCACGATCCTGAAAAGACGGCAGCGATTCGCAAGCAGTACGAGATGCGACGTGATGAGCAAACAAACAAGAAGCGTGCGATTGAATTAGCAGCAGACATCCGTCAAAATGATACAAGTGCGCCGCCCTACAAGCGTTGGAGAGGACGTTCAAGTCGAGCATACTGAGCAAATATTCTAAAGTTTGCTTATCATGAGCAGAACTTCATTGCCAACTCGCTGTTGCTTCGAAACATGTGTACTGATATATTTCTATCGAATTCAAGTGCTTTGCAGTGAAGGGTTTGTTCTCAATAGCGACAACGATCCTTTACATTATCGACATGGAAGCAAACCATGTTTCTCGAATCTATCGGTTGTCCAAGAAGTTGTTTCGTTTATCCATACAGTGATTTTCTTTCTATGCTTTTGCATATATAACTTTTCAATCGTTCATACAAAGTGATGCTACTTTCATGTCTTCAGTCAGTCCTTACGTTGTTATCAATGCGATTATCTAGACAAATATCCATCTTAAGGAGATGTATCTTGAAATCTTGACCGGATCGAAGGATTTACTACTACTTGGTCTTAGATACAAGCAAACTGTGTATCTTCCTTCTAAAGAACCAGCGTCAGTCAAGCATTAATGTGTCTGTGCACGTTCTTGCTTTGTAAGTGCTACTGTTGTTTCAAAGACCAATGCTCTTTATCTTTACTAAGCTGGGTTATCGAACCGTATTGGCAGTCATATGAGCCTTGTAATCATCACATCGACTGCCACATTTTCAGTATGGAGGTTTAATCTTGCAATGCTAGAAATGTGCACACACTGCCTGCAGCAAGGCATGCAATTAAAATGGAGGTGATAACAATGCATCCACACAAGAAATCTCGCCAGAAATAACAAACACAACATCTGGATGCCAGCAGTGTGCAATACGCTGTCTCAGTACGTCAGCAAGTGGCCGCGAGGTCTACCCATGAGAAGCACCACACTTTGCTACTTCACATTGGTTCTACGAAACGTATTGATAATTGTGAGCTCCACGCATAACACATTGATATTCAAAGCCGCTTTCTTGCTCAACAATGCGCTCCTTCTTGACTTGGTGGTGGAGACAGCTCAAGAATGATGAAAGGTATAGGAGAAATTTATCTCGTCCTCGTTCAGACAACAGAGACTCAAGTTGAGCCGGAGATTGGCTGCTCAACAGTACTCAGCTCAGCTCAGCTCAGCTCAGCATCATGCATCGTGAATGGCTTGGCCATAGACAGCTCGCTCGTAATGTAATCAAAGCCTTGCGTGTCTCTGCTTGGAATAGAGCAACGGACTGAATGTCGTCCGTCATACGACGACAGCAAGAAGACAATCGACATTTGTACAAAGACTTGGCGACATAATGGCGCATTCCTTTCATGTCTCCTCGTCGTGTTGAATCAAATACTCCGGTTCATGTCCTCAGATATATAGAAGTTGATTGCACGATCAGGCAATAATCCTTCTGTCATTTGTGACGTCCCATCTTAATTGTAGCAACCAAGCAAGATGTTTTTGCCTTCGTTACGGATTGCCCCAACACAAAGACTGCATTATCTTTCTTCTTCATACCCTTATTAACGATGTTAATACGTCGGACAATTGGACAAGCACACCAGTTTTCTTACAAGTTCTAGTCGAAAATGACCAGCTATTCATTGTCACTTTCAAAATAAGCATTCGTCACACATTGCTTATGACGAATGTTACCACACGTCAACAATATGATCGTCAGTGTTTTACTGCAAACAGCTAGAGAAGAGGTTTAAAATGTGTGGTTCCGAGTGAAAACACACATCTTGAACCTCTTCTAGATGCGTCACCAATCAAATTAGCGTACAAATGGCTGAAGAATAGGATGACAATCAGACAAATTTGAGATCAGTAGCATCGAGCTTATCGTTGGAATCATATGATATTGAAGCCTTGCTGAGCTTATTTGACGCATCTCACAATGGTATTCCAGTGATGTGTACAATCTCGATTTGATCATTATATGGACGTAATTACAGCAGCAAGAGCCGAGACAGGATGCATCGATAACATTACAATGTGTCACAGACTTGTAAAAACTGTGCATCATTGTATTAAGCCGGAATCAGTTTGATCTCGTGTTGTTACCGAATGCATACGAAAAAGGGATTGGCAGTAGTAGAACATACCGATTTGAGCCGGCATTGGCAGTTAGTCCCGTGCTAGTTCTTAAGTCAACCGCCTTATTACTCTACATTTTGCTGCACAGTTTTATCATTGAGTTCAAGTATCAAGGATGCGGATTAAGTTTGATGCACCACTGGTGCTGATTGCTGCCACGTTGCTCGCGTGTTCGGCCATGGGCAATCCTACTGCCGAATTTACGCCAGGGGACGATATACACAGCTCATGCGCGTTGAATAAGCTGAATCCAGCTCATGACCATTCTTCAAACAAGCGGTACTTAAGGTCTACAGTGGCTCTGACAAAGAGTGACCTTACCAACCATTTTGAAGAGAGGGCAGGCTTCCAGGTAATCCATCCACTCGATATCAATTTTGCAACAGTCAAGCTAAGCACAGTTCAGAAAGCTCGAGTGCGGCTCTGGCGTATGATGAACAAGAATTCGGACAAACTGTTCACTGGTCTAAAACTCCATAAGAAATCGGACGAACTCTTTCGTAGCAAAACCTTTCGTCAGTGGGTCGCTTTCATCATACTAACCCACAAAAAGGAACTTTCGACCGCCTGGGAAACAATACGCTCGACTTTGGAACGTCACTACACGGAAGATGATGTGCTGAGCAGTGTCCTAGCTTCAGGACTAGAAGCAAAGGACGACCTAATGCGATCTATCGCTTTACATGTGCTAGATTCTCAGCTGGAGAAGTGGAAGGACCATCGTGCGGACAAGGTTTTCACGCAATTGAAGCTCCACAAAAAAAGGTGACGGGCTTTTTAGTAGCTTTGTTTTTTTAGTATGGGCCAAGTGGACGAAAGCACACAATGAGCTTACCACCAAAGAAATGCTTTTGATTTTAAAAAGCTTTTACACGGAAGATGATATGCTGGCGAGTATTCTAGTTTCCGGACTAGAATCAAATGACGACCATATGAGACTTCTCGCTTCAGATTTGCTGATTGATCAGTTAAAGGAGTGGAAAGGGGGGAAAAGTATGGAGGATATCTTAACGCTTTTGAAACTTCAAGACAAAGGTGTCGGGCTTTTTGATAGCCCTGCTTTCTTAATGTATATCGATTCTTTCAAGCCCACTGAAACGCTTTCCACAACGGGTCTACTCTCTGCATTGAATAGTATATACACGAAAGATACTGCGTTTGCGGAAGCTCTAGTTTCAGGACAAGACGCAAAGAACGAGAGTATGAAAACTCTTGCTGATGAGCTGATACATTTGCAGCTCTCGGAGTGGAAAGGCAACAAAAACCGGAACGAGGTGATTTCTAAACTTTTAAAAATTACTCCTTTAAAGGGTATCAATCCAAAAGATCCAAGCACGTATCCACTGTAGTAGGTAACTTCGACCCAAGAATAATCGAGACAAGAAAAGTGGTAAGAAGAGTAGTTAGTGGTAGTCTTGATCGCTTTTTAAAGAAAAAGATGCGGTTCGCACTTAGTTATTTGTCATGATTCGTTCGTCGGGCGGTGCTTCTCGCATATTACGGCCATATGTATACGTAACAATCTAGTAAAGCTGAAATTATAAACTACACGATAAAGAAGTTTTAAACTTAATAAGCGATGGATAATGACATCTAGTAATGCGCATGCTAAAGCACGTTTTGACAGCAATACTTGCGGTAGCAAAAGTTGTCAAGCATCAAAATCTTTAGTGTTGTAAAGCCTGCTATAACTACTCCAAGTATTGTACGGTATGCTCTTCAATATCAATGCGGCCGTGCAAGGCGGTTGTACGCAGCGACGTGTGGCATTTAATCCGAGACAAAAGCACTTGGGAACTACTTTATACCTCCGTGTCGTAACAAACGATTGTGTCGCTGCCGACGTCTGTCTGCACTCACCGATCGATTCGCTACAACGAGTCATCTCTTCTAGCAGTTGAACTGTGAGGATAGGACCACAACGAACTTGGCTCCTTCGGTTCTGTTGGTAGATTCCGGACCATGAACTGACAAATTCCTTGCAGCGAATAAAGGAACTGCGAAAGGCAACACACTATGTATGAGGTCTCTTAGACAACCACCATCAAACGAGATTTCGGAAGGTTACGGGTTCTGCTACCATGATGAGTGACTTCATTACTTCATGTATAATGCAAGCGGGACCTTCCATACTTCCTACTAAGTAAGTGGTTTTTAGGTGAAGCAAATTGTTTTTTGTGACCAAGCGTGTAACAGTGCGAATTGTACAGACACCTGCCACACCAATGTGGTGTAGCTGTACCTTGGGTACATTAGTAGGTTCGATGTAACCGTACCGAAGAAAGGAAGGGCGTGGTAACTATACTTAGTTAAGTATAGTAACTAAACATGTTTACGTACTAAACAACAGGATATAGAGCCAGTAAATAGTGACTAGCACTAAGTATAGGATTGGTGCTTTTATATTTATTTTTAAAAAAAAAAAAAAAAAAAAAAAACAATTTCAAACCTCCCCTTTAAACCTTAAAAATTTTAAATTCTTTTCCTCCTTAAAAAAAAAAATATTTTTTAATAATTCCCCCAAAAAAATTTTTTTAAAAAAAAAAAAAAAAAAAAAAAAAAAAAAAAAAAAAAAAAAAAAAAAAAAAAAAAAAAAAAAATCATCTCTTTTTTTCTTTCTTTTTTTATAAAAAAAAAATATTTTTTTTTTTTGGTTTTTTTTTTCTTCTCCTCCCCACCTTTTTCCCCCCCCCCAAATGCAAAAAAAGCGTACCCACAATAGCTCGGCTACAATGAGACATCGTATCCACCTTGAATCCATCGAATTGGTCTAATCGAAATAGGGTCATCGTTCATAAGTTCAGGTACTCCATCTGAATCCACAACAGTAGCTTGCTTCCACTTATCAACAATAAGTCCACAACAGTAGCTTGCTCTCACTTGTCAACAATAAGAAAGAGCAAGCTACTGTTGTGGATTCAGATGGAGTACCTGAACTTATGAACGATGCCGCCATGTCTTCAAGATATAAAAAAGCCATCTCCAACATCCATCCACTAAATGCCGGGTTTGCAAACTCTCGATACTTGAAAAAATGTTTGATCTCCTCCGGACAGGTTTTAAATTCAACTTGAATAGCAGTATAATGACTAATCAGCTGGGCTATTGCCCCGTAAAAGTATGACTTCTGAACAACGCAAACAGGCGGTTGACGATAAGAGGCGATCGACTATCACTTGAAAGAGTTGAAAAACTATAACTGGGTAGCGTTTCGATAGCACGATTTAGCTGGTAAATCGCTTCTGCCGTCGTATACTGAAATATGTATCGACAGGACCGCCTGCATAGTAATACTTGGTCTCCAACAAAAAGGCGCGATTATCAAAAGGATCGTCGGGCTGACTTTTTTCGCCTTTTCAAATACTTCTGGCATCGTATTAATCAACGATGTATTGTTTTACTTGTCGCGTCAAGTTTTCGCAACCCATTTTTGAACAACTCTTTGTCGTTAATTGCGTCAAGGGTATTCATCGAATGTCCAGGACCAAATTTGATGCTCCAATATCATCCAATTATACTCAACATCGTCACTGAATCTTCTATGAGAGGCCTCAGAGCATATAAACACGAGCAGTTTCTCTCCAGGAACATTTGCACTGGTATACCATAGGAAGCACGTGCCTTCCAGATCTCTTCTATATTCCGTATAAGTCCAGCCATCAACAAGCACCAAACAATTGTGGTGTAACCGGGTTACACGAAGGTGTGTATTTTACATACACACCTGCCACACCAATGTGGTGTGGCTGTACCTTGGGTACAAAAGTAGGCGATGTGACCGTACCTGAAGTACGAAGGGTCGCATCGTGGCCGAGAGCCACGTGATCACTATACTTATTTAAAGTATAGTGACTATGCATGTTGCGTAATAGTAACAGGCTATAGAGCCAGTAAATAGTGACTAGCACTAAGTATAGGATTGGTGCTTCTATATTTAGTGTTAGAAGATAAACATAAAATATCAATCAGTTTCAAACCTGCTCTGTAAGCCTTACAGCTTGAGCATTCTATTCCTTCTAAGGAATCAGTATCTTTGATACTAGTCTCTCTAAGACTCGGTTGTTAATACCGATAGGCACAAGCTTACGAGCTAGCCTAGGAGAGTTATACACCTTAAGACGTAGAAGCTCTCTGAGCTTGTCTTCCTCTGCACATAGTGCATACGTAGCTTGGCTACAGTAGTTTGACTACTTCTTCTGCACATAGTGCATCTGCACATAATGCATAAGTAGCGTAGCTACAGTAGCTCGGCTACAATGAGACATCGTATCCACCTTGAATCCATCGAATTGGTCTAATCGAAATAGGGTCATCGTTCATAAGTTCAGGTACTCCATCTGAATCCACAACAGTAGCTTGCTTCCACTTATCAACAATAAGTCCACAACAGTAGCTTGCTCTCACTTGTCAACAATAAGAAAGAGCAAGCTACTGTTGTGGATTCAGATGGAGTACCTGAACTTATGAACGATGCCGCCATGTCTTCAAGATATAAAAAAGCCATCTCCAACATCCATCCACTAAATGCCGGGTTTGCAAACTCTCGATACTTGAAAAAATGTTTGATCTCCTCCGGACAGGTTTTAAATTCAACTTGAATAGCAGTATAATGACTAATCAGCTGGGCTATTGCCCCGTAAAAGTATGACTTCTGAACAACGCAAACAGGCGGTTGACGATAAGAGGCGATCGACTATCACTTGAAAGAGTTGAAAAACTATAACTGGGTAGCGTTTCGATAGCACGATTTAGCTGGTAAATCGCTTCTGCCGTCGTATACTGAAACATGTATCGACAGGACCGCCTGCATAGTAATACTTGGTCTCCAACAAAAAGGCGCGATTATCAAAAGGATCGTCGGGCTGACTTTTTTCGCCTTTTCAAATACTTCTGGCATCGTATTAATCAACGATGTATTGTTTTACTTGTCGCGTCAAGTTTTCGCAACCCATTTTTGAACAACTCTTTGTCGTTAATTGCGTCAAGGGTATTCATCGAATGTCCAGGACCAAATTTGATGCTCCAATATCATCCAATTATACTCAACATCGTCACTGAATCTTCTATGAGAGGCCTCAGAGCATATAAACACGAGCAGTTTCTCTCCAGGAACATTTGCACTGGTATACCATAGGAAGCACGTGCCTTCCAGATCTCTTCTATATTCCGTATAAGTCCAGCCATCAACAAGCACCAAACAATTGTGGTGTAACCGGGTTACACGAAGGTGTGTATTTTACATACACACCTGCCACACCAATGTGGTGTGGCTGTACCTTGGGTACAAAAGTAGGCGATGTGACCGTACCTGAAGTACGAAGGGTCGCATCGTGGCCGAGAGCCACGTGATCACTATACTTATTTAAAGTATAGTGACTATGCATGTTGCGTAATAGTAACAGGCTATAGAGCCAGTAAATAGTGACTAGCACTAAGTATAGGATTGGTGCTTCTATATTTAGTGTTAGAAGATAAACATAAAATATCAATCAGTTTCAAACCTGCTCTGTAAGCCTTACAGCTTGAGCATTCTATTCCTTCTAAGGAATCAGTATCTTTGATACTAGTCTCTCTAAGACTCGGTTGTTAATACCGATAGGCACAAGCTTACGAGCTAGCCTAGGAGAGTTATACACCTTAAGACGTAGAAGCTCTCTGAGCTTGTCTTCCTCTGCACATAGTGCATACGTAGCTTGGCTACGGTAGTTTGACTACTTCTTCTGCACATAGTGCATCCTCACATAGTGCATAAGTAGCGTAGCTACAGTAGCTCGGCTACAATGAGACATCGTATCCACCTTGAATCCATCGAATTGGTCTAATCGAAATAGGGTCATCGTTCATAAGTTCAGGTACTCCATCTGAATCCACAACAGTAGCTTGCTTCCACTTATCAACAATAAGTCCACAACAGTAGCTTGCTCTCACTTGTCAACAATAAGAAAGAGCAAGCTACTGTTGTGGATTCAGATGGAGTACCTGAACTTATGAACGATGCCGCCATGTCTTCAAGATATAAAAAAGCCATCTCCAACATCCATCCACTAAATGCCGGGTTTGCAAACTCTCGATACTTGAAAAAATGTTTGATCTCCTCCGGACAGGTTTTAAATTCAACTTGAATAGCAGTATAATGACTAATCAGCTGGGCTATTGCCCCGTAAAAGTATGACTTCTGAACAACGCAAACAGGCGGTTGACGATAAGAGGCGATCGACTATCACTTGAAAGAGTTGAAAAACTATAACTGGGTAGCGTTTCGATAGCACGATTTAGCTGGTAAATCGCTTCTGCCGTCGTATACTGAAATATGTATCGACAGGACCGCCTGCATAGTAATACTTGGTCT